TTGAGTTTTAAGAATCCTTTATATAGTCACTCCATGACTTGGCAGCGTTGTTTGCAGAGCAAAAGATTTTAATTTTAATAAAGTCCAGCAGCTTACCAGTTACTTTGCATGGATCATGTCTTTGTATTTACAAAGTCATCAGAAACCAAGGTTATTGTCTATTTAGTATATTATATTTAGGCCTATTACCCATGAGTTAATTCTTACGAAGGATGTAAGTCTGTTTGTCTACAATTTTTTTTTTTTTTGGGTGCTGGGGATCAAACCCAGAACCTGTAGATGCTAACACAGTGTACCACTGAAATATACCATTTTTTTTTTTTTTGGTACAAAGGTGTCATTCATTGTTCTAGCATTATTTGTTGTCAAACAGACTATCTCTATTGCTTTACTTTTGCTCCTTTATTAAAGATCAGACAACCATATTTGGGTGGGTCTATTTCTGCACTCTGTTCTGCTCCAGTTATTTTTTGCTTGTTTTGTTGATACACTCTGTCTTGCTTAGTATAACTTTACAAAAAGTGTTGAGGTCAGGTAGGGTCAGAATTAATTTAAATTTTTTTAATCAGTTTGTTGATACCCACAAATAACTTTCTGGGATTCTGATTGAGAAAAACTGACATCCTCACAACACTGAGTCATTCTATCCCTGAACATAGAACATCTTTTGCAAATATTACAGGTAGTTTTTCTCATATGGATTTTGTATATATTAAGATTCATATATATTCATTTTAAGTGCTAATTTAAATGGTACAATATCCTGCCCCCATATAGGTATTCCAAAACTACCAGTAAATGCTTGAAACTACAGGTAAGTATCAAACACTATACAGATGATCCTTGATTTATGATGCTTTGAGTTAGAATTTTTTGACATTATAATGGGGCAAAATGGCTTAAACAAACATTTGGGTTTTCACTTCCAGTACAGTATTAAATAAATTACATGAACTACTCAGTAATACTTTATTATAAAATAGGCTTTAGGTTAGATGACTCTCTCCAACTATAGTCTAATGTATATATTATGAACATGTTTAAACTAGGTTAGGCTGACTTGTGATAATCAGTAGGTCAAAGTATTAAAAGCATTTCTGACTTACATTGTCTTCAACTTCATCTGTATGTATATTTCTCCCTTATAACTGATAAAGTTTAACTTACAAAATTAACAGTAAAAAGATCAGCAATGATAATAGAATTATATATATAATAGAAATATGTACATATACAGTAATAAAAAGTTGTGAGTATAGTCTCTCAAGAGAGTTAAAATCAATATTACTTCCAGAACAACTCACTGCAGGCAGCTGAAATTTGCAGGTAAAAGCTGCAAGATGGGACTACTATATTACAAATATTATTTTCCTAAGATATTCCATGTGTTTGACATACATTTTATTGTCTGTTGAGATCTTATTCTGGAGTTAAAGGAATTATTCAATATCCTTATATAGTTGCTGTAGTATGAAACATTCTGGATTGTATGTGACAACATTTAATGTGACCCCTCATCTCTACTTCGATTGTCCTGCTCCAATTTGGATTCTATAAGGTGTTTTAATGTGGAGCTCTGTCCTAGAAGGGATCTTTGCAGGACAGAATTAAGTTTATTAGACCTATCCAAGCATCCTCTGGACTTATTGCAAACCCCTTACGGTTTCAACTGCTATTATCAAACTGGAATCCGGGGCTTTCAAGTGAGTACCTGTTAATTTTGGAGTTCTGAGATCCATGAAATAGTCCATTGCCTTCTCTAAAACATGTGGTGATACCATGCAAGTCTTGTGGCTATTGTGGATTTTTTTTGGCGGGGCGGGGTGTGGGGGGCAGGAGCTGGAAGTATGTAGCTTTGCTGTAAATTTGTCCAAGGTTTTCAGTTTTGCTGCCACAATTGCTCTGTGTGCTTTTATAGGAAGTTTGAGAGTTGAAAACTATGATTTTAGAATCACTGACAAATTTTGAATGTAGGTTAAGGGCAGACAAAAGTTACATCTTCTTCAGTGACTATGTTTTTCTTCAAGCTGTTTATCTGTCTTCAGAATATAGTACCTCCTAAGAAATCTTGACACACTTCTTTATCTTTCTGAGCCTTAGGAGGTTATGAAGGCTGACAGTGCAGGTTAAAAGCAAATGGCCTACTCCACTGGGGCAATTGTGACTTCTGTTAAACAGAGAATCCTGTACTGTCAAACGGATGCCCAGGTCAAAAGGGCCAGACTGCTATTTTTAAGGCAGGAAAGGGTATGACACACCTTTTTACCTACTTAATTAATTTCCAGGAACAGTTTGGTTTCACAGCACCTCTAGTGCTTTCTATTTGCTTCCTGGGTAAATTATAAAGTTTCCAAAATTATTGGTTTGGGTCTGCCTGAACTTGAATTCAAAAAATTATAAAATGGGAATATCTACTTCACACATTATTACATGATGACATAATTGAGAGCCTAAAAAATTGTAACATATAAGGTGCCATTGTTACAAAGACTGACTTTCTTAATATTGTTCAGCTTTTCAGATTTATACCACACCAAGAGCAAAGTGCCTAGCAACACAGTTGGCACTTGTAACAGCAGCAAATATGCTAAGGTAGTTGACTTTTTTACCTTCATATTCCCAGCACCTTGCATATAGCCTAGAATACAGGAGTCCTACAAACAATTATGAAAAAAACCCTTCCAAATATGGCAGAAAGCAGAGAGGTGTATTCAATATCAGAAACCCTGAGGCATGGTTGAACACTGTATAAAGTCTCAAGTCTCATCCTGCAGACTTCTAGCATGAAACATAATATGACAATGAATTTTTTTTTTTGCGGTACTGGAGTTTGAACTCAAGGCCTACACCTTGAGGTACTCCACCAGCCCTTTTTTATATTGGTTTTTATTGAGACAGGGTCTAGTCAACTATTTGCCCAGGCTGGATTTGAACCACGATCCTGCTGATCTCTGCCTCTTAAATAGCTGGGATTATAGTTGTGAGCCAAATCTCCTAAGCTTCTTAAAGAAAAAAAGTAACATTATCATCTTTGAATACCTTAGGTACTTAGCAAAATGCATTTTCATAAGTAAATATCTGTCAAACAAATGTTAGAGCAAACTACTGCCAGTCCTATTCATTGCCAAGTCCTGCCGTATAACCACAAAACACCCCCCCCCAAAAAAAATCATTTCAACTACTTCTTGTCTGCATTATTACCATTGTAATAGAAGCCACCATTGTATTGTTGCTTGCCGAACAGTTATACCTTCTGAACTGTTTGCCCAGCTTCTCTTACTCTCTTCTAACAGAATCAAAACAATTTAAAACAACAGTAACCAAGTAACCAGCAAACAAACCCATAAGTTAGACTATCACTTCTACTGAAAATCCTGCAAGGATTCCCCGACGTTCTATATTAAGGACCAACCAACTACAACCTGCAGGCCAACTCTAACTTGCCACCTACCTGTTTCTGTAAATGCAGTTCTGCTGGAATACAGCCACATATTGTCTACAGCTGCTTTTGTACTGCAATGGAAGAGTTGAGTGGTTATCAACAGAGCTCATGAGTGCCTAGCCTAATTATTTAATATCTGGCCCTTTACTGTACTGGATCTTTCACCTCCCTTTTCCAACTACATCCCAACCAAACTTCTACTTCAGAGTCTATGTATCCTGAAAATAACCTGCGACATCCATGACTGCCTTATCATTGAGGTTTCAGTTACAATGTTAATACCGTGGAGACTTCCTGATCAATCAATATAGAGCAGCCCTTTCAACCACTCCAAATCGTTGTAAAATAATAATTTTTTAATGATTAAAACGTTAAGTATTTACAATTAATCAGCTTGACTCAGTTTAGATCTCAATTTTGTTGGCAAAATCCAGAGCTTTGGATCAGGCCTGATCACAGTATTGACCTTGGCCACATCAATGTCATAGTGTTTCTTTGAAGCCTGTTTGATCTGATTTGTTGTATTTGACGCTCCCAATGAAGACAAGTATGTTTTAACTATCTTCTTCATCCCATACTCGGTGGTCAAGGAGAACTTGGTAGCACAATGGTCAAGTTTGTTTTTCTGGGGGCATTCTTCAAAAGGTATTTGGGCTGCCTCTGAAGCCACGGTGTTTTGGGCTGCTGGAAAGTATGACACGCAGATCTTCTTTTTCTGGCTCTGGATGCCTTATCTTTCAAAGCCTTTGCTCTGGCTTTGGGAGGGACAGGAACTTCCTTGTTGGGTTTTTGAACCTTCTTGGTGAAAAGGGACCAACAACGTAACTGACTTGAAATTTATGTACTATTTTTGTTTTCTCCTCCAGTAGAATATAAATCTTAGGACAGAGGGATCTTGATTTGCTACCTCAGCCACCATTTCAGTCGGCATAGTAAGCTCAGCTCCATAAACAATACCTGACACTGTTTTTGAATGAAAAAGGCCAACTAATAATTGCTGAATAAATAAGGCCAAAGTCAGTCCCAGTTTAAGTCAGTTGTCACTGGTCAGTTACAATGTTGAAGACTTGCCTTAACACTGGCCTGATCTTAATCATAAAACGTCTGAGGGGAGTCAATGCTCTCATTTCCTGCATGGGGGACAGGAAATGTTCCTCTTTTTCTACCTCCCCCACCTGTCTATACTTTATCCTGTTATACTAAAATAAATCCTTGACCACATTTCAGAAATAAAATGAGTAATTAATATCCTTGGCCCTAGTACCAGCATAACATCTTCACAAAGAGCATATTCTCCTGAATGTGGATCCACTTTACTCTTGGTTAGGTAAAGATAGCATTAGGAAAACCAGGCAAAATAAGGTTATAAAACTGATCAAAGAACTTTTCAACTTTATGATTATTATGGTTAAGAATTTTATTATCAAAATTATTACATCTCTTGTGAAAGTTCAAATGTTACAGCAAGGTGTAAACACTCCACTTGAGAAAGAAGTGATACTTCTTCCCTTCCAAGAGTCCCCCCACCCTCCCGCCCCCACCCCCCCTAGAGGTCTGGTCTTGACAGCACCCTGCCCACACAGAGTAGCTGGGGTCTCTGCACGTGCCAGGCAGGGTGAGGGCCGCCTGCCCGCTGGCCTCTCCCCTTGGCCAATAGCCAAGAGAAGAATGCAAACCCCAGCCCAAATGGAGAGACATTTACATACGTTTTATATAATATACAAAGAAACCGGCATCCCAGGCAACATGATTCTACTCCCAACGCTCTCCCAGACTGATGGATTTGTAGGGGAAGCAACAAAATGAAAAGTTCTCTGCTGAGGTCTCAGCATTAAAATAATAATAATAAAAATCTCCCCTCATTTGAGCAAACACCTGATTTCAATTTTGAAAAGTAAAATTTTGTAACAGTCACACACAAAGAGAGAAGACTGTGCATATGATAGTTGTAGGACAGGATAGAAAAGGGGATGCAAGAGGCTGGGGGGAAAAGGAGAAAAAAAATTAGAGGGAAGGGGGGAGACTCACAGTATTATCTTGTCCAAAAGAAAAGAAGGTCCACTGCAGCACCAGGGATTACACCTGTCATATATTCACTACCCCTACCATGGTTATAACTGAATACAAAATTAGATAAATAAAAACACGCCAGATATTACAGTAAACAAGTGAAAGAAATAAGCTGGCAACCATATGGAATTTAAAAGATTGTGTACCCCACCTGGGCTGGCTCTAGGGCTCCTCCAGGGGTGTACAACAGGCACAATGCACTGATGGGGAGAAGCCAGTCTGCTCTCGTCTCTCATCCAGAACAATGTTAGGGGTATGGTGGCTTGGTAACTCTCTCACTGGCCCACTCTCACATAAGCATTCCCCCAAAGAAACGTGGGGCAGGCCCACACACAATCACAGTCCTGTCGGTGCCACTCCACAAACCTATCTTCCCACTTTTACCCTGCAGTCATGAGTGCGTGCTCCCCAATCACGGAGGCGGTCCTGCTCATGGGATCGTCAACTCCTGATTGACTGGGAGTAGAAAAAATAAAATTCAAAGTATTCCAAGACCACTTGGGATTCTTCCTAATCAAATCTATTCCCCAAAGCTGGTAAGTAGCAATGTAATCGGCCCATCTCACTTCTCATTCCACCCCTCTCTACTTACTTCATGGGTTATTAAGCTGTGAAACAGCCTGGGAAGGAGGAGTGGGATGGTAACAGCTGGGGCTCAATACACAGATAATCTGCTCCCAAACAATCAAGAGCTGATTACCAGGTCTCTTCAGAGAGCCAGGCATCCCTCAGTCAGAGCAAGCTCCAAGCTTTACTATCCTGGCCTATTACCTGGTGATTTTTTTTTTTAAAGACAAAGGTAGGGAGTACTCTTGGTGGACTCAACTTGGACATGTATCTATTTCTGGAATGGAGCCTTAGGGTGAACATTTATATACCTACCTTTTTTCTTAAGTGCATAAAACCGTTAACACTACTCAGATGGCTTGGGGCTTTGAAATTGGCTCTTTTCACTTTTTTTCTTTGAAAAAAAAAAAAAAAATTTTTTTTTATTTAAAAAGATGTCCTCACTGCACAAGTGACTACAGGCTACAGGCAAGGATGGGAGACAGAAGCTTCAACACAACTCATTGCACTTAGAACCGTTACTAACCGGAACACCATTTGTTTGTCAACAATGTACCCTTAACAGCAGGGAGAAACTTCTTTATAGTCTCTGCTTCAGACAAGATTTACATCTTTCTCCAAGGTCAGAGGCCAGTCGAGACCACAAGTCTTGTTTCTTGTTGACCAGACCTAATCCTCTGGCACCTTGTAACCCCCTTCCCCAGCAATAAGCTCGGCCTAGGTTCCAGAGGCAGCTGGAAGGAAGCAGCTATGGGCTTGTTCAGTTCTGTTTGCCCATATCCAGAAGCCCTAGGAAAGTCCTGTCTGAGTCTTGACTCCTGATCCTTGTAGTGGCTGGAGTCGGTACTGGTGCACACCCCCACTCCCACGGTGTGGGAAGTGCTGTGTATTGGAAACTGCAGATACCCTGGAGGCCTGGTAGGCAGCTGACTGCCCAGCACTGGGCAGACTGATAGTCCGTAAGTCTGATGGCAATGACGACCTAGAGTTCTGAAGAAAGGAGGTGGAACTCAGAGTTCCTGTGCTGGACTGAGAAACTGAGTCTGAGGTTGGTGAGTCTGAGGGGCCCTGTGGGGTAGGGCTAGCAGCACTAGAAGGACAGCTCCTCCTTGAAAGATTGCTGCCAGTGCTGTTTCCAGAATGTGGCTGGCTGCTATAATACCCTGGTGTCCCCGTAAAAGGGGCCAAAGAGTCTGTGGACACAGGGTGGGCAGGGCTGGGATAGGACGTAGAGGAGAGGGATGATTCTGAAGAACTGTGAGAGGGGGGGTTTCCAGGTCTCAGTGCAGCAGTTCGATAACTGTATCCTGGAGATTGAGTAGGATGTCCTCTAAAGGGGGAGGAACTCTGTTGAAGGAGGCTTTGTGATTCTGTCCGTGGACTATCACACTGCAGGAGCTAGAAAGAGTTGAGAGGAAAGCATAGGATATGAACAAGTTTTGTCAATAGCTTGTGAATATCTACAATATCCTTCTTTTATTTTTCATGTTTAAAAAACTTTTTTTAAGGCTACTGAAGGCAGTAAAATGGCTATCTGTGATCATTTTATTTGCTGTTCTGATGTGATATACTTGAGAGTGAGCAATGCCAGTATTCTCACCTGCACATGATAACTAGGATCACGAAATATTTACAGCTAGAGGTCAGGAATTTCTCAACTCACCTGGTAGCTGTATCTGGAAGGGCTGTAAACGGTGGCTCCTTTAGAGAGTGCTGAGCTCAATGTCTCTGGGCCTTCTCCATCTGCAGGATCAGGAAGGTATTGTAAAATCAACCTGGCTTCTCAGAACAAGTAAGAAATAGCCACTGTTCATTCAAATCACCAATGCCATCACCAACTCATGCTGCTCTTTGTGACAAATCAACTGAGTGCAGCATGCCAGAAGGGCAAAAGGAGTGGTTAATTATGTGCTAGATTTTTAAATGCCTGATCTCATTCTTGTCTCCTTCTTTCTCTTCATCTTTCATCGAGGTGGAGTTCCAGGACTTTGGAGAGATGAGAATTACAGAAAGGTATCCCTTGGGGAAAAAAAGAGCAGACAAGAGAGCAAGCAATGCTACATCTTATGAATTCTGTAGCCCCAAAGAGCGATTGAATTGGAACCTATCACACAGCAGAGCCCAAGTGTGTCAGAAATTGGCTCACCTCACTGCAGCATTTGATGTGAATTGTGTAGACCTTGGTTTATGTGTCCCTGAACCTGCTTGTCAGTGAAGGCCATAGGCTCACCTGAGTCTTTCTCTGTGATGTTACTGTCCCACGTGGGAGAAGGCTCTCCTTTTTGGGCCACTCTCACACTGCTTCGGAGGGCCTTAGGGATGCTTCCTCCTTCTCGGAGTCGCTCTACTGATGTGGGAACCATCCTAGAGACACCAGGGTACATGTTTAAGCCACAGGGTTTAAGAGCCAAGAGTCTGAAACAAATGAAGCCCTGACAAAGTTTGTGATATATTCTCTTAAGACATCCTTAAACAGTATTTTCATCAAGACCTACTTAAAATATTTCTTCTCTGCCTTAAACTATGTCTCATGTAAAAAAAAAAAAAAGCCTTTTTTTTTTTTTGCCTAACTGGGGTTTAAACTCAGGGCCTACACCTTGAGCCACTTCACCTGCCCTTTTTTGTGAAGGGTTTTTGTTGAGACAGGGTCTTGAGAACTATTTGCCCTGGCTGGCTTTGAACTGTGATACTCCTGAGCAGCCAGGCATGAGCCTCGGGCGCCTGGCAAAAATACACTTTTTAAAAAAAATTTTGAGACAGGTTCTTCCTATGTATAACCCAAGCTGGTCTTGAACTTACACTCTACCTTGCTAGTGCTGTTATTAAAAGGTGTGTGCTAACGCATCCATAATCCCATCACTTGAGAAGCTGAGACAGGAGAATCATCGAGTTCCAGGCCAACCTGGGCTGCATTTCAAGACTCTGTTTCAAAACAAATAGACAAAAAGCCAAGTCCCAGTGACCTACCAAGTAGTTAAAATTATCTACTTGGGAGGCTGAAATCAGGAAGATCATGGTTTGAGGCCAGCCTGTGCTAACATGAGATCCATCTCAACAGAAAAACCTGGGTATTGTGGCATGTACCAGTCATCCCAGTTGTGGGAAGTGGTGGGCTGTGGTGATGTGGCTTTAAGTGGCAGTGTGAGCCTAGCAAGTGTGAAGCTCTTAGTTGAAACCCCAGTACTACCCAACAAAAGAAAAAACAAACAAAAAACTGCGCTAAATTTTCTCTGTGAAGAAGATATGTCTTGACACTTAAGTAGTTAAAGGTTTCTTACACTAATGAATATAATTTGAGTCATGTGTGTTCTTTTCCAGACTTACTCTTTACAGATCAAGATCCCTTCATTCTGTTTTAATCATCTGATACTCAGAACTTGTCACTAGTAATAACTACTTCATTTGTGGTTTCTCTTAAACAAGACCAATCCTTTCACTCTGTATATGTTACTGCATGGAATAGAAACATCTGAAATTAATTCAAGTAGAACTTGGCTGGACTTCTGACTCACCTTTCATGTGAACTGAGAAATTATAAGAGGCAGTTTTAGTACCCATCAAATGTAATAGTTCATGGGAACTCACAAGTCTATATCCAAAGCGCTGCCCTATAGGCTTGCTGGTAATCCTGTCCTTCTGCAAGGCTGGAAGATGTGGCTCTATTAAAGCAGGTCAGGCAGCACTAACTACTAGTGCTCTCAAAATTTTCCCATACATTTCAGATAAAATTGGAAATGATCTTAGATGTATACTCCTTCTGAATTTAATTATAAAACATCAAATATAAACTTACCACCTACTGCTGATATTCTCTTGAGGTCTGCAGTGAGATGAAGTGCCTCTGGAATCTGATGGGCTTACCGGCTCCAAATGTGACATAGAGGAATGAGATGGGGAGAATTTTTTGTGAGGGGATGATGGGGTTCGGACTGAGGATCCTTGCACACCATGGGTACCAGTGTAGAAACAGAATTATTGATGCCTTGCCCAGCTCCTGTAGACTTGCTTTTGCTTTGCGCAGAGTCACCTCCCCCACCAGAATTCTCCTTGGCTTCTTGTTTTCGCTTGCGGTACTCTAGCAGGGATACCTAGAATGGAAAACAGAAAAAGAAATTGGTATCATTAGTAGATCACCAGTAATGGGGAAATAAAAGAAGATGGAACCCCCTAGTATGCATACTAGGGGACTAGTATACTAGTCATGCAACGCAAACAAGGCAGGTATCAACCATGACTTCAGATGTGACAGAAATGTGAGCTACAGATTTAAGATAGTCAGAACTTAGTAAGGGTAAGAGAATATTCTAGGAGGTAACATTTTTGAAAAATGGTGTTCTGTAAACTTTTTCCTTCCTTCAGAAAAACCTGTGAGATTATTACTACTACCTAGTCAGAAAAGCGTGCTGTCGTAATTATTTGCAACAACAGGGACACCAACAAAGAGTGGAGAACTGGAAAGCTTGGGTAGTTGTGATTTTTCCTTTTCCTTTGGTGAGGGTGTTGGTTTTGTTTTTCCTGAGATAGGATCTCACTAAGTAGCCCAGGCTGGCTACTAATTCATAATCTTCCTGCCTAAGCCTCCCAAGGGCTTGGATTATAGAGCCTTTAGGTCATTTTGATGGCTCTTTTTCACCTCCTAGAAATCCCTAGAGATAAGTATTTTAAAACAGAACACAAAACAAACCACCACCAAAAGCCAAGGTTTCAGGGTTTGTAAGTATGTTCAACTTTTCAAGATATACATAGGGATTTAGTACTGTTTGTCTTACACACAGGTAAACTAGTGAAAAGAAGAAATTATTTCCAGTTTCTACTTTAGCAAATTAGCTTAAGAAAACCTATACATAATTTGCAAACTTTTCTTCAACCCTCATTATCACCTGCATAATCATAATTCATTCTTCTTTCTTCACTGCCACAACTGACCATTTTCCCTGCCTCACTGAGTACTCCTCTCCTCTTTGTTGTTATAGCACATTATGCTTATACTGCCTGTAGAACCTACTACAGACACTGTAATAGGTTTCCTGACTAAACCACCAAGTTGTGTGATGGCAAAGATCAATTCTATTTGGTTTTCTTCTTAACATTCATCACAAAAACTTGGCATACTGAAGGTGCCCAATACATTTTAAAAACGTTTCTGAAATAACAAATCATGATTTCCATCACCTGTGCATATAAAAAATGATACCAGAAATGCAAAGATTATTTTTGTTTTTTGTTTATACTCAAGTATTTAAAACCTTTAATAATAAGGTATTATTCCAAGTTATCTGCCAATGTTTCCTCCTTCTGTCCCCTGAGGGCTCTCATTTCTGTACAAGTATAAAATACACGCCAAAATATGAAAAGATAATTTTGTTCATGCATTTTTACCCATAATCTTGGAAAGAAGTTACTAATAACAAATTCTGACAATATACATCATTGTAAGGGAAACAGAAAAAGCAACTAGGTTACATTTCAGTGAGGATATATCTATTTATTACAGGAGACTGGGACACAGGACATTTAGCATTGTCAACCATGAACAATAAATCTAAGTCACTGTGACATCCCAAAATACTCCTGTGCATTTACAAACGTACCTTGTTGAGAACCACTGATACAAAAAACAAAATGTGGGACTTTCTAATTTCTCGAACAGGCATTACTTACAAGTCTCAACATCATAGCAAGCTCTCTAAGGCCTGGCCCTGTCCATTTCTCTCTGTACTTTCTTCCTGGTCCTCCTGCATTTCACCTGCCACCATAATAATCACATTTAATTATCTGCACCACATTGCATCCTAACTGCCTTCCCAGTGAAGTATCCCAGATTTACCTGTCTGCTCCCTCTCCTGTAATATCCTGACCCTTACTTGTTGTTCTACTTATTAGTCGAAACTCAGTTAAACTAGTAACTTGCCACCTCTCACTCAAAGTCCAGCCCTCAAACAGGCTGAATGCCTTACGTTTGTTCTCACAGTACCTTCTACATATGTGTAAGATTAGGTCATGTTCTCCTGCTAGCAAACTCATACCATGTGTAAACAACTCCTTTGGAGAACCTGTCAGCACTGTAATTAATGACCTATTAATGTAAATTATCTGCTAAAGCTCAGCATCACTTGCTGTAAGCTTCATTAGGGCAGAACTTAGGAGGCAATCTAGCATGGGAGCAACAGGAATCTGGAATCAGACACTATAGTGTCTTGGCTATTCCATATACTAGCTGTGTGGCCTGATCTGCAAATTGGGAAATCACCTACATTACAGAAACACTGTGAGGACTAAACATTTTTTTTTTTTCTTTTTTTGAGACAGGGTCTCACGCTAGGCGCTGGTGGCTCACTCCTGTAATCCTAGCTATTCAGGAGGCAGAGATCAGGAGGATAGAGGTTTGAAGCCAGCCTGGGGAAACAGTTCACAAAACCCTATCTCGAAAAAAACCCATCACAAAAAAGGGCTGGTGGAGTGGCTCAAGGTGTAGGCCCTGAGTTCAAACCCCAGTACTGAATGCTAGGATTACAGGTGTTTGTCACATGTCTACCTTGATATCTTTTTCATTTTATTTATTTTTTGCAGTGCTGGGAACTGAATCCAAGTCCTCAAGCATGCTCTGCAAGTGCTCTACCAGTGAGCTACACCCCTGCCCTGATGGTATTTACAACACTCACCAAATTATTTTCAAGCAGTTTAAGTCTCACTGGACATGGCAGAAACTAGACCTTACTTATTTGAGAAGAGCGTTGAATATGCAGCTGAAGCTTGAAAAAGTATCTACTGAATTATCTGGTTAATGTTCTTCAAAAGAAAGTCTATGTAAGAAATATGAACACTTACCTTTTTCCTCTGTGGTGGGTTCTGGGGGACAGATTGGACTCCGTCACAGGTCCGTTCACCACCAGGTGACATGGATCCACGAGAGAGGTCTTTCATAAAACCATGTTCGTATCTGCTGGGAAACCCTTCTGCAGGGGAACAATATCCCCCATCCAAATGTAAAGGTTTCCTGTCCCCCACTAGGGGAGACCCTCTATATAATCCATCTGCTCGAGGCATAGCGTTCAAAGGGGAGTAGGCATACATCAAGTTGAACTCTGTCCGAAATGCCTGGTCTGAGTTTCTCAGGAGGGTCTGAGGTCCATCTCCACTCCTGCTTGGGAAGCCAGTCTCTGAGGTGGGCCCGAGAGAGGGATGAGGAGCCAGGTCAGAATGACCTGAGTTGAGCAGGGAAGGTCTGTCAGCACAACTGTTAGTGTTGGAGTCATGGTATCCTACTTTTGTCAAATCCAGGTCTTTTCGGTGACAAAGCTGAAAGAATAAAGATCAACGGAGACATGGGACAGGGGAGAAAGGAAAAAGTCAAAGGGTGGAAAAAGAGGCAAGGGGGGCAAAGGTGAACAAGGAAAGGTAAAAGGGATAGAAGTAGAGGAGAGAAAGCCATTAACATCTGTAAAAGTTCCAGGTAGCAACAGTGTATATAGGGCCAGATTGCTAAAGAATCCTGGCCTTTCCCAAAATGCTTTAAAGTCTTTTCAGATGAGAATACTGGGAGTTAGAATTAGGTAATTGGCCAAATGTGACTATTTTGCCTGCTTAGCCTTTCATCAGGTTGCTGAATCACCTTGTACTACATTAAGGGATTGGCGGTATAATCAGGAATTTATCTGAGCCCCATGCATACTACAGAGGGCTATTAAGATAACTAACTTCTGGTGTTATTTCTAAATTAATATTGATGGAAGGTGGGGGAAGAGAAAATGGAGGAGTAAAGTAGAAGGTAGACGAAAAGATAAGTACTTAAGTTACTGGTTCAGTAAAGAAGAATGGCATTAAAGACATCAACCAACCAGTTCTTCATTCACTTTCACTGTTAAGTAGGTGTTTCTCATACAACTTTCTGGCTATTCAATTCTTCTTTATCTTCTAATGTGTACCAACATAATACAAGACCACTAATGCCCAGCACTGAAGAGCATGTGAAACTGCTAAAAATACCAAAAATAAACCCTGCCTATTATTTGGTTATCATTGCCTCCTCACACCAATATTTTCCACCACTAGATCAACAGTAGCCTGTGTACAAAGAATGGTATCAGAAACCAAAATACCATACCACGTCAGTCTCCAAATTATACTATCTTAGAATCTTTAACAACTGAAAAGGAAGTGAGATATATTTTCCTAATAAGACTGACTCAAGACACCTGGACAATCTATAAAATGGGGACTGACATTTTTTTCAATTTCATAATGACCTATAAAATTCTACTGATTCAGAATTTGATTATCTCCCATGAGTTTAGCCCCACTTTTTGTTCTTTTGGGGGTGAGCCTTGAGTTTGAACTTGAGGCTTCATGCTTGCAAAACTCTACCAATTGAGTCATGCCTTCAGTCCATTTTGCTCTTGTTATTTTGGGGATGGGATCTTGGGAACGATTTGCTGGGGCTGCTGTGGAACTACAATCCTCTCAATCTCAGCCTCATAAGTAGCTCTGATTACAGAAGTAAGCCACTGGCACCTGGCTAGCCTAATTTTTAAATTGGCAGTGGATGGGGTTAAAGCTCAATTAATTTATGAAAGGTTATGAGACTATAACATTTTCTCCAAGAGAAAAAGTTTCCATGCACATTCATAGGGTTAATAATTACTATATATGTCCAAGTGTTAAGATAAAAACTGCAGCACTAAAATCTGAATTTATCATCTCCATAGTAGCAGGGTTTCTGAGAAAAGCACTCAGCTGATAAAACTAAGACGTATCACTTGTACAACAACTATAATATTGCAACCACTGAAGAACAGAGGAAGGCCTGTGACACAGAAGTCATAGACTGATTTAGATTCCTTGTATATTATACTCAGTAAGGAGCTACAGAGAATATATGGGAAAGCTGTGACAAAGAATGACTTTCCATTTCTAAAAAAAGTTGCTAGATCTATCAACCAAAATCCAAACATCAGTTATGCAGAGCTGTCAGATTAACCCTGGGAAAAAGCATGAGTCTCAGCTCAACTCATCCAATGTAAGCTGCCTAACATAATAAATAATAAAAGACAGCTCCTACCAACTTTTGAATCAATCTTCCTTATTTGTCAACAAACAGACTTTGTCCTTAACAAAGCTCCTACCACATACTTGGCATCCTTTAAACTTGACATCTAGATTCTATTCTTTAATAGAACTCTTCAGCCACCCCTCCCCCAAACAACAACAAAAATCAACCCCATACACATAGCTACTTCATTTCCTCCATCTACATCCACAATCCTCTGCAGTCATAGTCACACAGGAAGATTCATTCAACTTGCTGTGACTGATTGGCCGCCCTCCAGCCCATTACCCCATTCACTCAGACCCCCAGCCCTCCCCGCACATTCAGGAACACACTCATGCACACTCACTCTCAGCCTCCAAGTGTGATTGAGATGGTGTGATAACTACCTCGGGTGACAGGGACTCGGGCCTATGCGCAGGGGAACTCTCAGGGGAGGATATGTTCTAGAGGAGGGAAAAGCATCTTGTTATTCATCTACTCCAAGTCAAGAAGCAAAACAAAACAAACAAAAAAAAAATAAATAAAAGCAAGCATAGATGTTAGCCACAATTTTTTTTTTTTTGGTGGGGAGGGATTGGATAAAATGCACAGGGGGAATGTTTAATTGCAAAACTCATCTCAATGGATAGAGACTTGTTAAAATGCTTCCTGTTGTCTTTGAAAGCATTTAAGGATAGATTGGTTATGTTTCATGCTATAAAACATCTCAAGCATAAGTCAGGAAAGAGTTAGGTGAAATTTTAGTGTCATATTTCTTTATATTTTAGATAAAAGTTTAGCAACTTATAGTATTTATTATTGAAGGGTACCCTCATCCCTTATTCTTCCTTAGAAGAACCCTGTTCCTTCACCTCACATCCCCTCTGATCATCACAGATCTTCATTCTTTTACATGCTTCAGGCTTATCTAGAGCATGCTGGGGACTGACAAGGTAAGGGAGATGGCCAGCACATACTGAATCAGTTACAGAAAGTATGACTGATAGAATCACAGGTTGGATGTGATTCTTGGCATAATCTAATTGAATCTGATCACCTCTACCAATTTTCTCTTGGTTAACATCAACTGTACTTTTGGGAAGTCAGAAAAAAAGAAAAAAAGAAAAAAAAAAAAGAAAAGAAAAAAGCATGCATAGTCCTACAAAGGATAGGACTTTTACCTGAGACAACACTTCCCTAACAAATAGGGACTGGGCAGTGAGCTCTAGATGGGTAGATATGAATGACAACAAATGAAGAGAGTGATGGTGGCAGTGCTGTGGATTCAAGGTACAAGGGTTGAAATACGGGGAGGTATGTGTGGAATAGAAAACTATGGCCTGGGTGGCTACCTAAGATTTGGTATGATTAGTGAGGCTGCTTCAGCAGTGTAGGTTATGAATTTTATTCAGTGGGGAAGGTGCCTGATGTACATAAGTACCCTTGTGTATGTGTATAAGACAGAGTGGAGTATGGATCTGAGAGCACGAAGAGAAGAGAAGGGTTATTCTGGTGAAAGCAGAGGCTGAGCCTGCCCTCACAATGGTGCCTTCATTCCTCTTCTAGATGCTTTCTCCTCCTGAAGACCTTTTTCTATTCCACTGTGTACCTCTTTTCCTCAGCATTGGAGGTATGTTAACTTCCCATTGCATTTGTTTTTTTCCCTTTTCAGAAAATATTCTTCCCCAGACTAAGCTGGTTTTTTACTTGTGACACCTTTTGATATTTGTCACAGTTTTTAATGAAAAAAAGGATTTGCTATCTACCTATGTAGAATATTAGAATAAGGGAACGAGTGTGGCTATCAGAATTGTGATAAATTGATCAGGGTAGTGAACTTTTTATTCTTTTAATAAGAAAGGCCAAATTTCCTAAATTAAGTAACAAGTTTACAATAGTAATACCATGTAGTTCTTCCCCTCCTGGTATTCTAACATCATGCTCAGATGATGCTTCACTAAAATACCTTTTTTTTTTCCTTAAATAAAATATCTTGTATTTGCACACTGTTTCATAATCAAAATGCTACAGAGAGATAGGAAATGTGCTGAGTGCTAAACTTGCTTGTTTTAGAGGAAGACTTATCTCCTAACTTCTGAAATTTCACATTAATAATGAAACTTGCTTTGATAAAGTATGCAACTCTATTCCTGTAATTTACTGTCCTCTAGGGAGAATTCCCTCCTATAATCTTATTATAAAACTCTAATTACTTGCTAACTGAAAAGTCAATTGCAAGTAAACAAAGTTAGAACAATGTAAATTAGCTATAATATCTGGCTTAAAAAGAATGTCATAAGGAATTTGACCAAGAGTAAATTTCCTACAAAAATGAAATGTAATCAGGAGCATGTTATTCCACCCAAAAAGAGGTTTGCTCCAAAAGATAGTTTAGTAGTCTAGAGTTAGATATAGAACATATAGCTCTGCTTTCAATGTGTCTAGATACTTCATTCTGAGTCACATAAAAAAATTCCAGTTATTTTTTAATCATCATGCTCTCATAAAGGCTGAACAAGGAGGGTGGACTGGTTAGAACATTCAATGTTATCAAGACCATGTCTAAAAAGTTTAACACTAGGGGCAGAGATGAGTGTTTTTAGTGGGCAGAACAGATTTTCTAAGAGTGTCCATTTAATTACAAATCAAAGCAACATGCAATAGATGGATTTTGTGTTATTTTCTAAACACATACGGGATCTACTCAAACGTGTCACCCACATTTGAATGCTAATGTGATCATTTCTCATCTGATCCAAAGAGTGAGTTTGTCTTTTATAAATGTTGCTAGCCTCTTACCTACTTCCTATTCCTAACATTGTAACAAGGAGGGAAAATAATATAGAGTGGGAAAATAAAAACAAAAACCCCCACACTCACCATAAGTCATACTCCACTGCTTTCTAAATCTCTGCTCCCTGAGGCCGAAATGAAAATACCAAACAATCTGGGAAAGACACTTCACTCATTTAAAGGCCTAGACCCAGAGCACAATCTAACAATATAATCTGAGCTCTACAGCTGGTGTTACTAATGGGTATTACAGATACCTAGAAGCCTCTTTTAACCAAGGTATTCAGTAAAGATAAAGATCTAGCATGCTTACTACCTAAAGTTAAGGAAATGGAGGGACTGCATGCTGAAGACAGATGAATGGGATCTGTGGTAGTACTGTTCCTATTCTGGGGCTGCCAAGATGAGAGGCTACCAGGTAACAGGCCACAGTGACCCTGAAGTTTCCCATTCTCTTGGTGAGATGGGGAAGAAGAAAGTAAAGAAACATTTGAAATGATATTATATTTGAAATGATGATGTACAAATGATGATTTTCTTATCCAGCATTCCCCATAGCCAAACCCAAATCACCTCAAACTGCAGAGGAGTGTTACAGCGACTAGCAGTAGTCAGAGACGTGATTGGTGAGAACATGAGGCTATATCCATTTCGACACTCTTCTTCTCCTGGGTGAGCCTGGCCAGGTGTGGTCAGCTGGGGGCTCTTTGAGCCTGAACTGGGAGGGGGCGGTGTGACTGGAGACAAAGGCTGAAGTAACTTGGTGACATTCTGCTCCATCAGATAGCGTGACTTCCATTTCTTTAATGGGCTCAACAAATCTGTGAAATACAATGCTTGAATGAGAGTTGAAACACACTTACCAGGAGGTTTTGTAGTAAAAACCATTACTCTCTAACCTACAATGGTTCCCAGCTCTGTTTTTGCTGCATCCCATTAAAATATCTCCCCCAATCAAACCAAAAGAAACTCTTAATTCCTACATTGAAAATAATTCTCAAAGCACTCTATATCCCAGAGAAACTACAAGCCTGAGAATTCTAATGACTGATGCAAGGAGATGATACACTCTCTTCCAGAGCAAAATGTAAGTTTCTTTCTAGTACTATGATTTTTTGAAAATCTTAAGCCTGTCTTAGTTTGTTGAAATCACTTTTAACTTCCACGTCACCAACTAAAGCTACTGGGATGCCAAATCCATATTCTCTTATTTATTTGGGCCCTTTTTGAGCAACACTTTCTATAACATCCTGTTTGCATACCAAGGAGTTATATACGATTTCCCATTCCTTATCTAGCCCCTAGAGTTGAGTGATGTAAAGTATGAAATAATCACTTATATAAAAACTACCAAAACAAACAAAAAACCGTAACTCTTTCTCTGATTAGACTAACCTTATTTTTTTTATTTCTTGGTTGACTTAAAAAGATACTAAACTATGTACCTTAGTGACCCTTTGGAACAAAGCACCTATCTCATTTCAGAAGGAAAAATACACTTTTACTCATACACAATTAAAAGGTATTCATTTGCTTAATATTGTGCAAACTATGGAACTAGGTAAGTGTGTGTGGGGAATGGTCATCATACGTTGTATTTTGCAAAGATCCTAACAAATATATGTACAAAATGTTTGATATAAGCTTCATATTAGTATGATCCAAAGAGGTGGTCATATCCTTATTTGTTAAGTAAAATTAGCTAAAGCCAGATTCAGGGATACAAGCCTATAGTACCTGCTACTTTGAGGGTAAGATGAGACTGCTTGAGCTGAGGGGTTCAAGGCTAGCTTGGGTAACATTTCGAGACTATCTCAAGAGAAAAAACTCTACTGTACTATGTGCTTTATGTCTAGTCTTTCAAATTATAGCACTTTATTATTATTATCCTTAAGTTAAAGACTTTACTGTGTAGAAAAGACTAGGTACTTTAGTTTCTGGTCTACATTCTGAATCACTATGCTAAATTATATCCTTAAGGCTTGGTGGAAGGAGTGACCTTTATACCATACTTGCAAGACAGGCACTATTTCCTCTTGAGCCACTCTGCCAGCCCAATTTTCTTCTCCCTGCCCCCCATACTTATTTTTATTTATTTATTTTTAGGACAAATGGCTACACATATAATTTTGAAATACAAAGAACATTTTCACTTTCTTACTAACTTCATATTCTTGTGTGAACTGCACTGCATGCTCACATCCTTCAACCTGAATTCAGTATACTGAACTTTTTCTTGATTTGTAAGGGTCAAATAAGGATGTTAAGCCTTTTTTTTTTTTTTTTTTTACAAATATATTTTCTCATTTTGCTGTGTCTAGCAGACACTTAAATATACTGGGCTTATGTTGGAATGTTAGTTTACTGAATAATATGGAATCAACACTGACATAGTTTCTTTTGGTGTTACTGGATTTGAGCTCAGGGCCTCATACTTGCTAGGCAGGCACTCTACCACTTCAGCAACTCCACCAGCCTTTGTTGTTTTGAGTAGTTTTGAGATAGGGTCTACTATTTTCCTGGGGTTGGCTTCAAACCATGATCCTCCTGAGCAGCTGATTTACAGGTGTGAGCCACCAGTGCCCAGACATAACATACTATTTTAGACCATGTCTCACCATGTAGCCCAGGATGGTCTCCAACTTGCAGTCCTTCCTCAGCCTCTCAAAAGTGCTAGGATAACAGGCATTCAACAGCATGCTTAGCAATACTGAAATAATTTTGCTAAAATTTTTGGGGCAGAGATCAGGAGGATCATGGTTTGAAGCCAGCCCAGAAAAATAGTTCGAGAGACCCTATCTCTAAAAGCCACATAACAAAAAAAGGACTGGTCGAGTGGCTCAAGGTGTAGAACCCTGAGCTCAAACTCCAGTATTACAAAGGAAAAAATAAAAAACCAAAACCAAAAACAAAAAACCAAAAACGAAAAACCAAAACCAAAACAGGAATAATTCAGGAGGGCATTCTCATTAAGGAACATGACATAATCTTTCTATTATTCAAACCTTGACTTATCTATGTCCTTCCTTATTGAGATGCACCACACTTCTAATTAGTTTTACTTTCCAGGATTCTCTAGTTTTTGTTACTACTGAGAACAGGATTTATTTCTCCATTTATGTTATCTTAATGTTATTAACATAAGAAAGTGCTTATATAATTTTGCATCTAGCCAAATTATGGGCATCTACTAGTTTTTCAGCCAAGTATCTTAACTCCTATAGGTAGGGATCATATTATATGTGATAACACATTACTTTGTCATTTTTGGAGATGGGATCTCGCTAGGCAGCCAGTAACTCATGATCCTCCTGCCTCAGTTTTCTTAGTGCTGGTTTTACAAGTGTGCACTACACCAGGCCTAATATAACCCTCTTTTAACCGGACTTATGCTTTTTTTGTAGTCCCACTGGCTGAGAACTCCAGATTATGTTAAGCTACCCCTGAGCTATATCCCCAAAGCAAAAATAAAAATTTTAGTAATACTGTGCACTATTCCATCTAAAGCACATACATGTTGTAGATAAAATTACAAATTTATCACCCATTTATTGGTTGGAATTCAGTTTTTTTAACTGTATATTTTTGTTAATAATTATAATTATTTTTATACATAAAACAGTGGTTTCTCTTTTTGAGCAGGCGCAATACTGCTTGAGCCATTCCACCAGCCCTGTTTTGTGTTGGGTATTTTCAAGATATAGTCTCATGAACTATCTGCATGGGCTGGCTTCGAAACTCGATCGTCCTGATTTCTGCCTACTGAGTAGCTAGGATTACAGGTGTGAGCCCCTGGCCCCCAGCTAGGATTATAGGTATCTTTAATGTACATGATGAATGTTACCAATTGCTAGTAGGAATGTTATTCTGTCATTTTTACTTCAAATACTTTCTTAGTTTGTTAAATTAGAGACAGTATGACCAGAGAAACAAGATTAATATTGTTTGATTACAAAAACTGGGGAGCTGGAGATATGGCTGAAGTTGTTAAAATGCCTGCCTGGCAAGTGTAAGGCCCTGAGTTCAAACCTCAGTACTGGTAGCCGGGCAGCAGTGGCTCAGGCCTGTAACCCTAGTTACTCAGTAGGAGGCACAGATGAGAGGATCAAAGTTTGAAGCTAGCCCCAGCAGATAGTTTGAGACCCTACCTAGAAATTACCCCAAACCAAAACGGGCTAATGGAGTAGCTCAAGTGGTATAGTGCCTGCTTGGCAAGTGTGAGGCCCTGAATTCAAACCCTAGTACTGCCCAAAATAACCCAAAACAAAACTCCAAACAACAGAAAACCCAAAAATCCTCAGTTTGCACTGGCAAAGGATCTAAATTGTGTGGAAACTCTAAAACAATTCACAAAGTTTCTTTTCTTTATTTTTGCGTTACTGGGGCTTGAACTCAGGGCCTTCATCTTGAGTCACTCCACCAGCTCTATTTTTGTGAAGGGTTTTTGAGATAGGGTCTTGCAGAACTATTTGCCCAGGCTGGCTTCGAATGACAATCCTTTGAATTTCTGCCTCCTGAGCAGCGAGGATTATAGGCACGAGCCATGGGTGCCCAGCATCACTAAGTTTTTATGTTAAGGCCTATTTCTAGCTGTTCTGTTCCACATATACATTTGTTCTTTTATCAGTACCATGTTAATTACTGGATTCATATTAGAACCTTGTTATATAATTTCAGGAAAAGTAGTTCATCATTACCTTCCAAGTTTTTCTTAGCTTTTGTTTTTTGGTTGGTAGTACTGGGGTTTGAACTCAAGAGCCTTGCACTTGTTAGCCAGGTGTTTTGTCACTTCAGCCATGCCCCCAGCCCTTTCAGCTTGAGTTATTTTACAAATAAGGGCTCATGTTTATGCCCAGCTGGCCTGAATCAGGATCCTCCTATTAAGCTTCCTATACAGCTGAGATGACAGTTCCCATGCCCAGCTTCTGATTGGTTCAGATGAACTTTTCCCGGGGCTGTCCTTGAATTGAGAACCTAATCTCTCTCACTCCCACTTAACTAGGATTATAGACATAAGCCATTACACCTGTTCCATTTTTTTCTTACTTAAAAATTTTTTTTTCAGTAATGGTTTGCTCCATGTATCCAACTAAGGTCATTCATGCTCAGGTAGTTTCTTTGTTAAGTTTGGAAATAAAAAATTTTTTTCTTCATTCACTTTCTTAGTACATAAATACTTTTCATTTTTGTGTATTTACCTCTTTATCTACAGATTTTACTTAGCTATTATTAATTCTAAGTGTTTCAGTGAATGGTTTAGGTGTTCCTAGGAATATATCCACATTATTTACAAATAATGAACAGTATGCCTCTTACCTATTTCTTTGTACAATTTTAGCTTTTAGGAACTTTTTTCCTTTTCAGACAGGCTCTCATTTGAGGTCAGGGTAACCTCAAATTCGAGATCCTACTGCCTCAGTCTCCAAGTACTGTGATTATACTTTTTGCCAAGTGATGGGTGAGCTTGCACTATGACGCCTGGCTACAATCTTTAATGTAGTAATTTGGTCTCCAAATTAAGGTTTAATTTTTTTTCTACTGTACCAATGTGTCTCCCATTCTCAATTAACATATCCTTGCTATTCTTAGAAAAAATAATAAAAAAGAAGAAACTCAACAAACAAAAATAATCCTCCAGGATTTAGCAATATAAATCTCTTTTTGCAATGTAAATCATCATGTGACTAGTGCTCAATTTGTTTATAAAATGTTTTCTTTCTGAGGTGGGGTATGGTTGAAGTGATAGAGTTTGCCAAGCGTGTGTGAAGCCTAGAACAAACTCCACTACAAAAAAGTTTTCCTTCTATTTATGTTGATCCTCAAGGGCAAGGTGTGCCCTGTGAATGTCTCATCCTGCTTGCTAGAGACTAGAGCAGAAGCTCAATAAAGATTGGTGACTAACAGTCCTAATTCCATTTCAATCAGGGCATGTAGTAACAAAGGTACTTTCCCTCTAAGTGTTTTCTAGTCGGGACATGAACTGCTACATAATCTCTCTTCTTCAACTTAACTACGTATTACATACACACATACCACATGTGGACACATGATAGTCCAATTCGGCAAAGTTATTTCTGACTACACTTGAGAAGCTGCCAACAAATTAATGGAAATCTGTCATAAGGATTTTTGTTTTTTCTTTTGTGGTGCTGGGGATGAACAGAGGACCTTGTGTAAACCAGGAAAATGTGCTTTACCACTTAGCTATGTCCTCAGTCCAGGATTTCTTTATACTAATCTTGACTGACAAAATCTCCCTAATCTTTGAAGAAGAGAACAAAACATTTTAAATAAATGGTAGCACTGAACTTTATTACTCTGGGGCTGCATATGTATTAATTTATAAGGTATAAGCCAATCTAGAGACAGAAGAATAGTTAAAAATTTTCACAAAAATCCTTAAAAAAAAAAAGGGAAATCAAATATTGAAGCAAAGGCAGAATTTTAATATAAAGGAGATATTACTAAGTAGTGTTTATTTGGTTAAATTCAAGTTCATTATAATTACCTAGAAAGTTGACAAATACAGTGAAGTGGTTTTTAAGAAAATCTAAAAATATTATCATCTAGCTGTAGCCTTATATGAACTTCAGCATTTATTTTGACATTTTAGTAATTTAGAGATACAAACTTAAAGAAATCACAGAGGAGAAATTCCCTGTTAGTGCTACTACATATTATATCATGGGGCATCACAAAAGCTAAAAGTACATGCTCTGTTAATGAGTAACATCCCAGCCTCTGGAACTTTTCAGTTATGCTGATACTAGCAGGAGAAACTTTGGAAAAAAAAGACTTTCCCTAAATAAGACAGGATCACAGTGTGGTAGAGCACACATGTAATTTTAGTATTCAGAAGGCTCAGGCAGGAAGATCAGGACTTCCAGGCCAGTCTGGAATGTATAGAGACCCTGCCTTAAAAAGAGATGGTGTCACAAGAAGTACTTATAATTAGAAACCCTTTAAGAGTCACTGTGAAAGTCATAGCTATTTGGTTCAAAAACTCATGAGGACTTTCAATGATTTCTCATTTATTTCATTCACCTCCTGCCCCCTTAAGCAGGCCCCACCCAACTCAATCACTTAACATTTAAATTCTTTCCTGAACATTTATGTTCCACCACTTTGTCTTACCCCCTTATAAATATGAATATAGATTTCCTAAACTTACTACTTTAAATGTATCTAACCTTTTTTATAACCATTTCTGCTGTTATCTGTACACTGTCTACTTCCTTCTTTGTCGTCCTGGGAAAACTGATCCCTGACTTGAGATCTTTATCTTCCTCTGTAAAGACAGATGTAAAGTAACTATTTAGAAAACAGGCTATTGCTTTTTCATATCAGAGTACCAATACTAAAAAATTTTATGGGACCTCAATGATTGCTCATGTATTCAGAAAGGTTTTAGATACATACCTGCATTGTCTTTACAGATACTAGAAGAATTAGTATTCTCATTACTTTGGTATAGGTGTTGAGTTCTAGTCTCTTGTGGTACAGATGATGTTTGAGTCATCCCTTCTTCCAAGGCTTGCTTTATCCAGCGCTATAATGGGAAAAAAAATCCAGACAATCAATAACCACTTAAAACTATTTAAGATACCTATTTTAAATGTACTAACCAGATCATTATACATCAACTGGTGCAAGGTGCAATTCAGCATATTCATTCAATTCTACAGTCAAATGTATTTCGGCATATGAGAATGTTGCCCCATTAATTCTTTCTTCCAGGGAAAACTAACAAAGTCTGGATTACACATGATGAGATCCCATTAAAAAACCAACACCAATAAAAAGTGATTACTATTCAACTTTTCATACTGCACAGGATAGGAAAAATGGGAAGTGACAAGGAAGAAAATTTAACATTTATTTAAGAGAAACTGCTCATATAAAACAAAGCTAATATGTAAATGTACCTACAAGGAAGATAAAAGATCTCTAAGAATTGTGTGCCTTATGTCAGGGAAATCGGAAGTGGTAAAAGATTCACAGGAAGATACTGGATGAGAATAAGTAGCTTTTCACTAAAGGTACCAAAAGACTTTAAAAGGTCTATTCTCAAGGAGAGAAACTGTGAGTTTCTCTTCCCTATCAAGTAGTTTGGTTAAATTATACATGAATAATGCAAATCACCAGAAGAAATGATCTTCTGCAGAAATCAAAACAGGGAAAAAGTAAAAAAGAAGACCCCTCTTAATCCATTATACTTTTGGTAGTGAATACTGGGATCTAAATTGAGAAACCAATTTAGGCCAGTCAGGCTACAAAAATTAGGGTAAGATAATGCATCTTGTGGAAGAGAAAATTTCTTACCTGTAATTTTGTTCTCTTAAGATACAGTTATAGGCTGCTCATCATTCTGTGACTCTCATGGCCTGACATAAGATAGATCAAGTTTTGATAAACATCAATTTCTGAGACAGACCTCTCCACAAAATAGGAAGAGCAAAGCTGAATTATTATAACTTGATTCCTCTACAGAACATGTATTACAGGTAAGTCAATAATTCTCTTCTCCAAAGAAAGCAATTCTAGAAAGATTTTTCCTTAGAATCCTAGGAGGTAACCGAGGGAAACTTTTATGAAGAGAAATCTTATGCAAACATCATTAGCTGCCAAATGAAAAAAAAAGTTGTATACATGAAGAGCTAAGAATGAATGTATACATAAAAAGAGATACCAAGAGTTATCTGAATCACATCAACATTATAGCATACAACCATGTCTCTAAAAAATCAAGATCAAGAATGAACTCTTTTATATACAGAATACAGATACAAAGATGAATTGTTGGAACCATAGATTCTTAAAGCTTAGAAGAGACTTTTGAGATCATCTGGTTGAAAGCACTCATTTCATGGATGGGGAAAACTAGGCTTTCGAGAACAAAATGAATGAAAAACCCTTTTATTAACAGACACCTAGTACAAGATTTTCTTCTCAGAGCAGATGACAGAACTCACTTAGGGTCCCTTTATTTTCTTCCAAAAGAAAATAAATTTTTGTATTTACAGTGTCAAGTAGATGTAACCATAAAAAATTTATATTCTGGATCTAGTGACTACAAAAATGGAACATAAAACCAGAACATGTGCTAATATACTAGGAATAAGATGCTACTATGGTTGGCTATAAGAATAAATACAAGTATGATCAGACTCCTTTCTTCCTTGCTCAACTGCAGCTTTTTATATTTAAGACTCATCAAAAAGTAACACAAATATATCTTTGTATCTAACAAGGTCCAATCATCCCTTTGGATAATAAGTTAATTTTAGATCTCCCTTGCCCTGACCTCCTGCCCAAGTCAGAGTTATTAAAATCATAAGACCATTTCTCCCTTCTCTGAAACTGTATTAGGAGGCACAAAGATGGGTGAAAGAAATGTTTAGAAGGGTATCATTATTAAGGAAGTAATACAGGCTTTGGAGTCCAAAAGACCTGGGTTGAAACCTGGCTCTGTCACTCACTAGTTGCCTTTACTTTGTGTAATTTACGGAACCTTTCTGAGATAAAGCTTTTGAACATGTAAACTGTGGCCAACAATCCCAATTCCATGTGTTCGTCATGAAGGTGAAATGAGATAATGTTTGCAAAGAAAAGTTACAGCATAGAACACCACAACGTTTCACTGAGTGTATTTTCAACCAAGTATAAGTGGTATGTTTAAAGAATCACAGATTAAAAACCCTTTGGTGTACACAATGAAACACCAATAGAAATCACAGTGCTTTACTGTCAGTCCAGCTGGTTTTCTAAGAAATCTGGGAGATCAATGCATTATAAATACTATGTCTACTAGGTAATTTTATACAGAACAATGAGGAGGGGGACATGACTGAAAGGCTTGTTGGCCACTTACAAATGCTTATATTGAAAATTAATTCTTAAAAGTAAGGTACAAAAAAAGACATATAACACTTTATGAGAACTATGACTCAGTTTTATTCAGATACTTTTGGGATATCAACAAATATTTTAACAAATTAATCTGGACAAAACTACAATTTGTCTTATACTGTTTTTAACTTATGAGGCCTACATCCTTTAATGGGACATGAAACAGTGGACCTAAGAATATTTTATTGTTCAATTAATTCCATGGTTGGCTTTCTTCTCTTATTTGCTTAACTTATACTTTGAAAGATTTTTCAGAATTTAATTATAATTCTGTTAACTAATGGAAATGTTCTTACTTTTTTTAAACATTTTATTTTTATTTATTTATTTTTTATTATTCATATGTGCATACAATGCTTGGGTCATTTCTCCCCCCATGTTCTTAGGTTTTGAAGCAGATGAGTCTTTTCTAACAAATCTAAAAACAACACATCTAGATTTCCACCCAGGATATAGTTGACTTCAATTCCTAACTAAAAAATTGATTTTATTTATTTTGCCCATATAAAGCTATGTCTTACAATATAGTCTGGATTTGTTTCCAACAAATATTAGTGCAGTGATTTAAGCTTAAATTAAGAGATTTAAACTTAAAGAATTTTAAGATTCCATTTAAGTAACATATTTTTGCTACGAAAATTCACTGTATATTGCTTTACTTCTTCCTAAAGATCAATCCTGACACATATGAAGAATTTAAGCAGAGCCTGAATAAAATATGGATGAGGACTGGGGACATAGCTCATATTGTGTTTGCCTAGCATGCCAAAGCCCTCGTCTGGATCTGGATCCTCAGCACTGGGGGCAGGGAAGATGACAGCTAAGAACAAGAATGGTCAGATAACATTAGGAGAACATAATATTGATTTGAGTTAAATGGGATTTCCTTCTATCTGTTCCTAATAGAGAATTACAAAGAAGCTACAGATGTAAGACTTAAACTACAACCAGGTAAAAAGAGCTCAAAGAAATGGATTTTCTGCTCAATCTAGTATCACAACTAAAAACATTTTGGTTTTCATAGGTCTCTGCTAATTAGAAAAGCAAGATGGGAGCAAAAAGATTGTAACCCAGCATCAGAATTATCAAGAAAGCATTTTAAGTGGTTAGTTCATATTATTTACAACAAACGTTTTAATGTTAATTCTTATGAACATACTGTCAACCTTTCTTAAAGACCAAAACAGGAGATTCTATTACCTGGCTTGATAGAACACTTCAGCAGTGAATGTCCTTAGAAATCTAGTACTACTATGTTCAGCCAAACACAGAACAAAAGAAAAGTTTCTTTCATATATTAATCCATCTGTCAACCTGCCCTTCCTTCAAAGACAGTATCCATATCCTTTCTAATTTTCAACACTCCTCATACACACTTCAGCTTTTGAGCTACTATTTTTCATGAAAGAGGAAGAACAGTTCTTAGTTTTGCATGCCATACTAGAGATAGGCATACTCCAATTATTATAGAATGTTCTGTTTTGTTTTTTGAGCCAGGGTCTCCTTATGTAGCCCAGACTGAACTTGAATTCTCAATCTTCCTGCCTCAATCCCTGAGTGCTAGGATTATAGGTATGAGCCATCACACTTGTGACAGCATTGTAATTTACTTATACCAAATGTAGTGATTTTTTACATAACAATCCATTTTTCTTTGTTGATATTCTCTAGGACCCAAGATAAACTAGTCAATCTAAGTGACTTGGTATAAGATAGTTCCCCAGGGACCTAACTTTCCTTCATGACTGAAGCAAGTTTCTTATAGAAAACAACTTTTCAGAATTTTTCCCCTAGATTTTTTTTTAATGACAGTTTTCAATGTTATTATTTATGACACCTGAAAAGTTATTCATGCTACTAAATTATCTATAAACCCTTTCGGCAAGGATCTCTTCTACATGGGACTTTCCCCAAACAAACCAACGAATAACTCAAATACTTATGTAAGATGTGCAAATAAGAGAAGACTTTCTGCAGTGTGTGCTGCTGATTCAGCAGCAGTGCCTTTCATTTAAGCAGAGATTCCTGTTGCCCTCCTCCCCTCCATATCCCATACCACTTTGGCTCACCTTTCATGCCTCCCAACCCCCAAGAAATAATTCTGTTCTTTGGGGAAAGAGAAAAGCTTTAAGTTTGGAGGAATCAGGGAAGACCTGCCTGGAGTTGGAGACTTCATCACATCAAATAATCTACATGCAGCATCCTCATGTACGTGATGCCAGTGGAGGAGGGCAATGGCAGACACTGAGGAAGGCAGCCTGAATCCAGATCTGAGGATAAGAGAAAAGGATGTTCCAGGGAACAGAACTCTACCTCAAAAGAAGACCAAACGAAAGGGTGTCCTATACTTCTAAAAATACTGAAAAGATATTACAGGTCTGAGGAAGTGATCTATTCCTGAGGGAAAACTTTGGAAAATATGTAGGACTTCTAAGAATTAAGAAAGTGCATTCCAAATACAAACAACCACCAAACACTACTGCCAGTAGATCCAAAAACCACTAAATAACTACAGAGAAGAAAGAGAAATAGAGAAAAGAGGTAGAGAGTCTTTTACAGTAGGTTCAATATTCTCTAGGGAATAAAAGTCCAACTTGTTGTCATTTGATCGAGGAACAGGAATTATGCCAATTACAATAGGGTTCTTCTTCTAGTATCCTTCAAGTGATAATAATTATGAATTCAAAACACAATTTTATAAAGTTTTACTTATGCAACAGTACTCTAGGGTGCTGGGGCCCAATCTTGTACAATAATCACAAATGGACATATTAATAGCACAAAGAGTACACAAACATATCCCTCCCTACCCTGTCATCAACTACTGTGTGCTCTCACTCAGTAATTTCAAGGGCTTTCAGATAAAACACAGTGAATACTCACAAATTTGAGCACCAAAATGCAGTACACATTCCACCTTGGTCATACTGGCTCCCGATGCAACAATGTGCAAATTGAAAAACTAACTCATCAGAAACTCACAAGGGTATCTAGAGAATGTGTTAAATGTCACAACTACAGGCATCCTAGGTTAAAAAACCCAGAACACCCACACATAACCACAAACATACCTTTTTACAGGAGCTGAATGTACCATCAGGCAGAAGGGGCCTTCGTCGCCTCTCAGGCATAAAGGGTGAGCCAAAGCGAATGTAGTGTTTGGGGGTGGTGCAAATTAATGGGGAATGAATAAGACCCGGTAACATGTTCAGGGTCGTTGCCAACACAGTTGGGTCTGTAGTGATCCGTAAAGGACACTCAACAGGGCACTCTTGCTTCTCTGCTTTGTCATTCAACCATTCTGTAACTAGATACTAAGGTTAAAGAGAGAGAGGGTGGGGGAGGGAGGGGAAGAGAGAGGAAGAGAGAAAGAGTGAGACAGAGTTAGTTAATGCGGCAGATGTAACAGCCAGAGGCAGCAGTGCACTTGACAAAGACAAACCTCATCTAGAAACTAGGACAGAGGCAGCAGCTGCAGTGAGAATGAATTGGGCATTCAGAACGCAAGGATATCTTCCTTTATCTCCTCTATGCCCACTAAGAGAGGAGTAATTTTAGTGATTTAAGCTTTGCCTAAAAATAATGGAGCAAAGGATAGTAGGATGGCTTCAGTCTTCTACATCAAAGCATTTTGTCTACGACTTTCAATCCAGTAATACTGGGCCTCTTATTTTATAGCCCATGGCAGACTGAACTTATTCATGGCTTACCTTTTTAGTTTTGGGGTATTTAGATGTAGTACGGTTGACATGAGATCCAGTAATTGTTACTACGGCTGGGTCAGATCCTGTTAATTGTCTATTTTCTCCTGAACTGTCTATACTTCCAGCTTCAGTAGGAGTTACTGAAGTGTTATTTCCTCCCTCTTCCAAGGCAGCTTGTGACAACTCTGCCTGTTGTGCATTGGCCTGCTTCTGGCGCTTTAGTCTTTGGGCTGAACTGGTCCGGTACCGAGAAATTCGACTCTTCGGTCGGGGCCTAGAAGGCTTTGCTGGAGGTGGTTTGGTGACTGGCTTTTCTACAGCAATATCCTGTAACAATACCAGAGTCAAAATGCTCATGAGAAATTCTTATTTATAAAAATTTCAGAGCTTCCTACCCACTTTAAGTATACTGAATGCCTAATGGTGAAAAGGTAAGGATGTATAAATAGTCATTTAAAATCTAATCTTTAAATACAAAAATTATACTTATATTTAAATCAGCTAGAGACTGTAGACAACTATCTGGGTTATTTCTATTTCTAACAAACATCTACAAAATAGGCCAAAAGTCAGTTAAAGGTAGCCACCTTAATCTTAGGGTTCTTAGCAGGGAAGAGAATTCCTTGTGTTTCTTTCTCAGATACTGAGGCTTTAGTTTAAGACTTCAGATTCATGGCAAGGGCAGGAAAAATAGGTGTATCCTGAGAATTCTATGAAAGGTCAGGTACGTAACTGGGCTATAAGGAGGTCCATGAGAGAAACCATTTTTTTTTTTTTTAAATGTTGGTGGGGATTGAACCAGGAACTTGTGTATGCTACACATGTACTCTACCACTGAGTACACCATCATCCCAGAGATCAAATCATTTCTATGAGCCCACCACCAACAGTTGGCAAAAACAGTATCAAGTTCCATTCCATCAAGTCTGAAGGGGTCTAGTCATTTAAATTTGGACTGTGTATTTCTCCCTGAATCACACAAATCAGTTGATGAAAACCTTAAATGGCTTTACTTACTGTGATATGGGGCAAAGCCAAAAACAATGATTTTAAATGATTCTAAAAGATAAGTAATTGGCATTATCAAAGACAAGGATATGTGTCTAAGCCCCAGAGTCATTTTATCTCTTACCCCTGCTTGGGAAGACCTCCGGGTATTCACACCAATAGTTTGCGGGGTGCTTGGGATGGAAATGTTTGAAGCCAAGTTGCTATTTTCAGACTCAGTGGCCTCAGTCTTTGTCTCTTCTGTAGGAATCTCTGAAGCGGTGGTAGTAATCTCTATGTCACAATTGCTCTGTTCCAAGGGCTGATCCCGCCGTTTCTTTCTTTTCTCTAAGTTTTCAAAAGCATGCATGATGGCTTCAACTTTCCTATCCTCCCGGGTCTAGAAAGAAATAGAATCAGCATGGGAGGAGGCTTCAGTGGGAGTAGGATACAGCCATTTCAGAAATATTATGAATGGAAATTTGTAGAAACTCATTTAACTGAAATGTCACACAACTCTTTGAGAATGTAAGATAAAAATAGAAGCTAAATATTTCATTTTAAATATTGGTTAACAGTTATATAAAAAAAGCAAGGGCCCTAGACCTTTTTGCTTTAGTTATTTTTCAGATAGATCTCATTTTATGCCTGGGCCTGCCTGGACTGTGATCCTATTTAAGCTTCCAGTTTAGCTGGGATGAAAAGAGTGTAATACCATGCCCAGCCTTTTTTATTCATTAAGATGGAGTCTTGAGAACTCTATGCCTGGCTTAGACCGGAACCATGATCCTCCTGATTGCTGCCTCCCAATTATGGGCTTGTGCCACTGTGGCTTTTTTTTTTTTTTTTTTTGGTCATAGTGCCACTTAGCCATTCTATCCGCTGTGGCTGCCAAAATTCAGTAAGAAAAATAGTCATCAAAACTGTAGGTTCAAAAACCAAGTAAGTTGTCAGTGAACTTCTCATGAGAACAAGTAAGTATGATTGTTTTCAACATAAAAGTAAACAATTCTAATCTGTATGACTTCAGGGATGCTACGGTTTGGATTTGCAAATTCCTTCAAAGGTTCATGTATGGAACAAAGGCTTGATCCCCGTATGACAGAGGCGGTGGGAAACCATAGGAAGTGGAGCCTATTTAGAAGAAGGAGGTCTCGGGGAGCTTGCCTTTCAAGGTTGTATTTTGCCCCTGGTCCCCAGTCTTTTTCTCTGTTTCCTGATGAGTTTTCCTCCACCATGCCCTCTGCCATATTGTTTCTGCCTTGCCACAGGCCCAAAAGCAATTAAACCAGCCAAAAAAGGACTGAAACCTCTGAAACCGTGAGCCAAAATAAAGCTTTTCTTCATAAATTGTTTTTCTCAATTATTTTGTCACGGTAACAGAAAGCTAACACAAAATATTTATTTATTTGTAAATAAAAACAACCCAAACCAAAGACACTCATAAGTCAGAGCAAAATAGTCCCAACATATTTTGGTTTTGATCAGGCACTTTTGAGAAACTAGATTAGAAAGAAACTAGGTTAGAAAGAAATCACTTAAAGCCTCCAGTCTTCAGACTACTACTACATGTGTATCTATGTGTAGGAAAAGAAAACAAAAATTATAATGAACTCTACTTTATGGAATAACACTGAACTGTAATCTCCACATCAAATCAATGAGATAATACAGAAAGTCAGGAAAAGAGAATGATTCATATACTGTAGGTAGCAGGAATCAAAAGGAACAAAGGAATGTTGGATGGTACATACCCGCCTGCTATGAGCTGGGTTCTCCTGGTCATCTATAACCTCTTCTTTTTCTTCTTCTGTTTTTTCTTCTGGATTGTCTACTTCCTTTAAGACAGACGTAATATTAGGCTGCACTCCTAAAATCTGAGAAAAATCAATCTGCTTTATTCTGGTAGCTTAAACTTCCCTAGTAACAAGTTGTAGTGATTTGAAATGTTACTCATGATAACCCCATTCTCTGGACTGAAATCTGTAAAGTACCTAGAGGGATTTCTTTTTTTTTTGGGGGGGGGGGCCAAGTGCGGGAGTGAGAAACCTGCACTGGAAATTAGAAAACCTAGACCTTTGTGCATGCTAGGCAAGTGTTCTACCACTGAGCTACTGAAAAGATATATTTGACATTAAAAACTAAAAGAAAATGAATGAACACATATGTATGTTGATATAAGGAACATTAACTGTGATTACAGCTTCCCTAAAACATGTGGCAACCTGGAATCTACTTGATTTGGAGGACTGTGACCATACCAGTCTAATTTGACCAGGGGAGATTACCTCATGATCAATGGATACAGTTACTTTTTCTGGAACTTCTTGCCGTTGTTGATCACTATTTTCCTCTGGAGCCTCATGCTGCTGTTCCATCTCTAGCTCTTTTCGCCGTGCTTTTCTACGTCTGGTCTCTGCTCCGATGGTGGGTAGACTTGGAAGGGGTGGGAGTGGCAATTCTGCAGCATTGGGATTCCTTTTCTGTATAGGGCAGTTCCGGTTGCCCTTGTGACAGGCACAGTCCACTTTATAATTACTGCTCCAAAGAAACAATAAAAAGTGCCTGTCTCAGTATCCTTGATAAACATGTGTATCAACCATTCATTCTATTACAACATTGGCACAGGAATTTCCTCTTGTATTATCTTTGAATAAATTAAACCAACACATTAGAGAGTTGCTATGAATATTTTAAATTATCTGTATATCCCCAACTCTAAGCCTACATATGGTCAGAGGAAAGGAAAGCAAGACACTAACTAAATGTAATCATTGATAAAGTCTGAAGTAGCTGTATTTATCTTGTGCCCATCACCACTGACACTGAATCCTCACTTTTACTGGATTCTTTTTTTTTTTTTTTTCAGTACTGTGGTTTGACCTACCAGTCCTTTTCTGTGATTTTTTTTTTTTTTTTTTTTTTGAGATAAAGTCTTGCAAACTATTTGCCCAGGCTGGCTTTGAACAGTGATTCTCTAGATCTTTGCCTCCTGAGTAGCTAGGATTACAGGCATGAGCCACTGGGTCTGGCATTCTTTTTTTTTTTGGTGTGTGTGTGTATGTGCAGCCGAACCAAGGCCACTCACATGCTAGGCAAATGCTCGACATTCAGTTGCATCCCCACCCTAGTAACACACTTTCTTCTTATACCTGGGCTAAACATGACTTTACCACCTAACTTCTAAAAAACCATCAAGAGAGAAAAAGCACGTACTCTATGGAACCCATTATAGATTCATCTATGGCTTGTCATCTCTATTTTTCTATATTGCCATATGCAGCTAGATTATGTGGTATGAGTGAATGAGGTGAATCTTTATAATTTACATTCTTTGTGGCCCCTGGTATAAGTGCTCTGAGCATAACAACACATGGTACTGTGGCTTCCAGTATTTCTCATACCTATCCTTTTTGCTATTCTTGCTAAAGAGCCATAACCATTACCTTTGTTAGGGAACTTGTGAGCAGTACCATAAAAGGTACCTAAATCTCTAAAATAAAAATTTTAAGTTGGTATTTCCCTTCACAATTTCTGGGCAGAAATGCATTACTCATGAAAAGATTAAGGAATGCTTGCAGACTTTAACTAGTTGAAAAGCTTTATATATAAGATGAGACCATTCATGTTAGAAAAGTTTTTATAGTCTTACCAGTTACTATACTCATAATCAAATGCAATGGTGACTTCAGCATCCTTGGTGATGGCAGATACAGCATAGATACACAGGTGAATCATTCCATCTGCAATCATGTGCCTTACCTGTGTGAACAAGGCTTATGGTTAGATTTACCCTAAAAAGTATAAATTTTCCATAAAAGGGAAATAAAACCTTTTACATTTAGAGTTATGGTCTGCAATTTAACTCTATTTTTCATGTGAAATTATTACATAGCAAAGTCCTAAAAACTTATGAGTACTTCTTAAGAAAACTTGAGATTTGGAAAGCAAGGCACAATCATTGACAATTTATTTTATTTATGTTTGCTTATTTTTATTTTGTCCTTTTTTAAAACACACCCTTGCCTGCAATAATTTACATCTTAAAAGTTGTTTCTAACACTACAAGAGAATGAAAATTCCTTATCCTGTAAATAAAACTCTGTGGATTACTTTATTGCATTTGACATCGCTACACTGAGTAATAAAATCTGGAAGTACTGAGAACTTCTCACAGAATACTGTTTCCTAAAACCTGTACAAGTGAAATCAAATAGCTTAGGTTGGGCCCAATGACAATTTCATTAGTATAAGCTCAATCGATTCTTATCCAGTCTAGCTCTTTCTTCTTAGCAAATGTGAGCCTGATCTTTTCTATTTCCTCCTTTCCCAAAGAAAATTAATTCCTTGCTCCCAAGTTAGTGTAAAAGTACCATTATTATTATTTTTCATCTCTTGCTATTGAAAGGCTGTAACTATCAGCCACAGACCTTTATGTGAATGAAATTCTCAGACTGCTTCTTCCATTATCTTGTCCTTTGGAGGTTTCATCGAAATGGAAGTTGCTACAGATTATCTTACCTCTGCATTTGGTGTACATGATCTTCTGATGAACCGAGCATCATTACCGAAAGTACGAGCATCCACACACATCTCTACACCATTGAATTTTGAGTAGAAGAGCACAAAGGGATATGGTCTAGGGATATAATTAAAATTCCTGTAATTCTCGACACAAACAAAAACGCCACCCCATGACTCCAAATATGATGCATATGCTGACAGAAGAAGCAGCAATCCTTTGCAATGCCTAAACTTGGAAAACATCACATGCTTGTCTGTTTTTGATTAAAGATCAAGTACAAAGCAAGGAATGCTGGGCTTGGAAAGGAGTCATTGCCATTTTATATACCAAATAATTTGCAGATTTATTTGCACTTCTCTACAAATAGCTGAGAGGCATAAGCTTATGTGAATTGTTAGCTTTTTCCCAAGAGTAGTCTATCAACCAGGATGACTTTTATAGCAATACTGGTCATTCAGAACTGTGTTAACCCTCAGTGCTCAATGAATGATGCTCTTACTTTTTGAAGAAATGCCCATTGACCTCAAATTGCTGCCGTAACATGACTTTCCCGCGATACTCTATTATAAGAGTATCCAAAGCCAAATCTCTTGCAGCCCTCAGGATTTTACGGTGCTTTTGAACACGAGTGACTCTTCCCAGCTGTAACTGAATAAAACCAGAGTGTTAACATTAAAAGAATAGCAACAGCAGCATAGCAAACATTTAAAATATTTCACAGTTGTTGAAAAGACACCAAAAATTTCAGGCTTTATCTATATATGTTATTTAGCTGATGACCAGAAAAATTTGAAGTTGATAGAAGCTGGGCTTTTTTTTTTTTTCTCCAGGAACTTCATCTACTCAACCTGCCATACCAGAAAAGGTAAGAAAAGATCAAACAGAAGTACAAGATTAGGATTTTTTGTGGTTCTACATCTGATTTAAGAATGAGATTAGCTTTCTATAAAAAGCTCAACATTCTAATTCAGGCTGTATAAAATTTTCCATCCTAAATCAACTACTTTTTTATTTTTATATTTTTTGGGAGTACTAGGGTTTGAACTCAGGGCCTCACATTAGGCAGGTGCTCTACCACTTGAGCCACTCCACCAGCCCTCACCTACTTAGTGATTAATAAAAAGTAGTTAAAATCTATAATCGGACAGTGTTTAGCTAACATAATCTGCTTTTGGCTAAAGATGATCAAGAGTTGGCTAGTCTAGCCTGGCGCCAGTGGCTCATGCCTGTAATCCTAGCTACTCAGGAGGCAGTGATCAGGAGGATCACAGTTTGAAGCCAGCCTAGGCAAACAGTTCTCGAGACCCTATCTCAAAAAGCAAACAAAACCCCCTCCACAAAACAAAACCATCACAAAAATAGGGCTGGTGGAGTGGCTGAAGATATAGACCCTGAGTTCAAGCCCCATTACCAAAAAAAAAAAAAAAAAATCCGCTAGTTTGTTATCCTAAAGCCTCATACATCTAGAAAAAGTTAATTACGTCCTGGATCTAAAAATCACAACTCCTCAGAGCCTTTAACTCTTTAGTCCTTACCTGCATTTGGGAACCAATAACTGTATTATTACAGGCCAATTCAGTCTTATTAATAGTGTCTAAAATAGCAGGTTTGCCCACAAATTCCTTGTTAGAATGTAGATGTTGTTCAAGGGCGTTCTGTACATCTGCACTGTACTGATTAGTGAAAGCTTCTTCATATTGATCAGTCCATAGTCTTATCCGATTTTCCCAGCCCTCAGTTGTATTTTCATCTAAATTCTGTGCTTCAGAGGGAGAATTCTGTAGAGAACAAAGGTCAAGTAGGTTAGCAGAGTCTATGCTTAAAAATGGGGAGGAAGGGATAGGGAAAAACTTTTATTTTCACTTGGCAGTTGGTGTACCATAAAAGAGTAATAGACCAGGAGTCAGGGCATCTGGCTTCTATTAGTTTTATTATCAATGAACTGTGAGGGCTTGGACAACTTTTTAAACTCATCTCATCACTGATTTTCTGACTATTTTTAAGTCATAAAAATCATTTTTGTTTCCATTAAAAGACTTTATCAGCCGGGTACCAGTGGCTCAGGCCTGTAATCCTAGCTACTCAGGAGGCAGAGATCAGGAGGATTGAGGTTTGAAGCCAGCCCAGGCAAACAGTTCCTAGAAAAAAACCCTTCACAAAGAAGGAATGACGGAGTAGCTCAAGGTGTAGGCCCTGAGTTCAAGCCCCAGTACTGCAAAACAAATACATAAATAAGAAAATAAAAGACTCGCACTCATCAAATTTGTAAGAAAATTTTTATAAAAAGTAACAATACCGGTATCTCAAATTCTCATATTATTTTTTCCCTTCCTTTCTTTTTGGTTGTGGTACTGGAGTTTGAACTCAGAACCTCCTCCTTGCTAGGAAGGCACTTTTACAACTTGAACAATGCCCCCAGCTCCATACTTATCAATACTTATTGTTTATCTGTGTTAGTGTGACAGTCCAAACTCGTTTTAGTACTCTTCAGAATGATTTTGTTTTCGTGGCACTTATTATTTTCCTTATGTAACTAATAGTTGTTCATAATCTTATCACCCACAGACAAAGTTATCACTTGGGAGCATGTCCCTCTAGCACTTTTTATTTTAAAGAATTTATACAGTCACATTCTAAATAATCTGAATAGGTGAAGTGAGGAGGTGGGTGGGTAGAGGAAATATAGAAAATATTTGAGAGGTAGATAGGTGCTTTCCTATAGTCCTCTAAGAAAACCACTGCCCTCTATGGTGACAGTACTGAGAAAAAAAATATGTATCTAAGCAACAGCATCCTGAACAGTTTATTATGTGTTTGAGCTTCAGAGACACAGCTTAAATCTGGGACATGTTTTGCAAGGTGTTTTAAAGTACCAGCAAACAAACACACTGATAGTGATGATACACTATTGATCAATTAGAAGGTAAAGACATTATAGTAAACAAAGCTACCTGAAATTAAATGTCCACCACTTAACTTTCAAAAGCATAACAAACTGAAGTACACTTTCCATGAATGGTACAGAAAACACTGATGCCTATTATTACAAATGTTTCTTCACCACCTTTGCATCACTATTGTTGATTTATTGCTATCTACTATCCTCTCTCCAAGGAACAGAAAAATGTGAAAAAATGTTAACACTTTTCACTAGAGTAAAAAAGACTGAATAATAAGCCAAAGGGGTTGAGGAAACATCTACAAAGCCAACACAACAGTGAATAGAACCTGCTTGTGGTTTCCAGTAGAAGCTAAGCAAAAGAGTTTACAAAACCTGAGAGTTAAGGGTGCTAATAAGATTGGGCATTAGAAGTGCCCAAGCAGTATTCTAGCATTAAGCACTGAGTATCAATTACTAAATTTATGACTTGCTAAACTTACTGTATTTTAGAAGCCTCTGTCACTTTATTAGACATTGTTCACTAATATGAACCTGTGTTTGCTACTCTGTTGTCCCATCATCCTTTGGGGCACTGGAGACCCCACATTAGTGGCTTTAGTGCAGTGGCTCTTAATTGGGGGTAATTTTTCCCTCTGGACACATGTGGTAATACTGAAGACATTTTTGATTAACCACAACTTGTATGTGTGTTTGACTGCATCTGGAGGGTAGATGCCAGGGATACTGCTAAATATTCTATAATGCAACGGATAATTCTTTTTATAGTACAGAATTACTTTGGCCAGAATGTCAACAGTGTAGAAACAACACTAGTTTCCAGTTAACAAAGCTCTTGACTTTCAAATTAAAAATTCAAACTACAAAAAATTTTCCCGCTCTTATAGCATCTACCTGGATCTTTGATGGAGATTTTTTTGTGTGTATGCAGCACTAGGGTTTGAATCCAGGGCCTCTCACATGCTAGGCCTGTGCTCTACCACTTCAGCCAGTACTTTTTTTTTTTTTTTTTTGCTTTCATTATTATTCAGGTAGGGTCTTGGGCTGGATTAAGACCTTGATCCTCCTCCTTACTCTCCTGAGTAGCTGGGATCACATGTGTTCACCACCATGCCCAGCTTGTTAAGACACTATCTCAGGCTGGCCTTGAACCTAGAACCTCCTGATCGCTGCTTGTAAGGAGAAGCTTGGATTATAGGCCTCAGCCACTGTGCCCAACCTGGTTGAGTTTTTATTGGCATAAAATTTATAACTCAATTTAGAACTAGGAAGTAACAATACAAAGCAACTACTACTTATTTTATCTAAATTTTAACACATCTGTGGGGCTGTCAATTTTCTGCAACTGTAAACAAAACTTGAGGTTTATGCGCAGTTTTCTGGGAGAGCAAGTTGATACTTTTTAAAAAGGTCTGAATCTCTGCAAGTAAATTACAACTGGGATCAGGTCTACAGTCACCCCAAAAGTCTATTTAGGGGCCCTTTTTAGCAAATGAGACAAAATAAAAGAACTTAAAGCAAACTTGGCTATTTGCAGGAGCAAATAAAGAAATAATGATTAACTTGTATTTCAAAATACAACCCAGGCACCTGGTGCTCTGTGGCTCCAAGTCTTCTCAAATCTACAGAAGGTGATAACTTCAAACTTCAGATAAAATACCACCTATAATCTTTGATAACATCAATTGTATTGATGCTCCACGTTAATATAAAGTAATCTTAATAAAGATTATTCTCACTTAAGATTTTAATGTTTATACCATATAACCACCAACTGGAAAGATCCTTTACACATTCCAGGATACAAACTTACAGAAATAAACTAGAACTGAATTCTAACTAAAACCTTTGATGCCATAACTCATGATTTTGTAGGTATGCTGTTCTCTTACATATATGTAAGTAAAAGAAGATACTAGATAGTATAATCACATTTCCTTTCAGCAAACTGTTTTTGATCAACAGCACCTAAATGTCCTCTTTAAACAATGCAAATAATTTTACTATTCTCCAGCCTCTTTACAAAATCATGTCTCATAACCTCTTTTACTTGATAACTGAAGGAACATGAGTCTTTTCCACCAAATAGATACACCAGAAAAACAACAGTTCAATTCCAATAAGACTAATTCCTATCAATAATACAACTTTCCTGCTAATAAGCTGTTATTTCTAACTGGTGACTAAAAGCTCACATGGTGCTAAGGTGGGTGTACAAGACATCCTGTATTGTTAAGAGAAACTTCACTCCTGAGGTTGAACTCAATCACAGCAACAAAGCACATTAGCCTCATTTTGTATGCCAAAATGTCACTTATTCCCCAGAAAAGCAGCTAATAAAAAAACCAATAAATTAATGCTGATTACAAAAATGGAAAATATTTCAGAAAATGGCCAAGAAAATCTACTTTGGAGAAAAGTTCTATGAAAACTGAATGGCAACAATTACAAACTAATGAAAAGCAGACTCCAAGATTCCCAGACCATCAATGTCAGGAAAGAAGCTGACCAAAATGCAAGATCACAATGAAGTAAAACACAGCATCAGGGAAGATTACCCCTTACCTTCATCCGCAAGGACTTCCGGGATCCCTCTCGAAATGCCTATCCCAAAGAGGAAAACAAGTAGAACAAAACAAAACTTGGTACCAAGATTGACAGTTAAACCTATGTGAGACTAAAACTAAGGCACGAACTAGTGTTCTATTCTGTCCCCTTTTCAATTCATAACAAGTGTAATGGAATTCCCCAAAACTATTAGCAAGAATAGGGGTAAGCCCAAGGCCAATGAATACTAATTCTAATACGTTATGGTAGAGTTAGGTAACTAACAGGGAAGAGCATGCACGACTTAATCCTGTATACACACTTGACACTAACAGAAAAAGTAATTAAAACACCGTAAGTTACAGATTTATCAGTTTTGAAATTAAGAAGGAAACAAAGACCAATCCCCCTTTACAAGGGGTGGGCAAGTCACCTAGGAGCAACACAGTTGCTGTGATGGGGAAGAAAGAACACTAAACAGAAGAGGTTTCTCCTGGAAACTTTTTAGTTGAGAATACAGGAAAGTGACCACCACACTAAGGAAGCCTAGACCATTCAAGAGATGTTTCCTGATTTGTCTTTTTTAGGAACAAGGATAAACAATCAACCTGATGACATGAGGCGGGCATGTTACCAGGAGAAGAATTTCAAACTGCTTTGGGACTGAAAGGTGGGGAGATACTGTAAGGATACTAGAAGCCTAGACTTGAGGCTGAAACACAGGGGCTTATACCAGGCAGGGCTGGAATTTCATATCTGGGATGGGGATTGGAGTAAAACAAACTTTGAGCCAATGGTGATGGTATGGTGTGGTAGAAGAGAAGTTGGTCTATATGTACGTAACACAGATTAGCTGATTTTTCCAAGTAGAGCAAAAGTGGCTCTTCAAATAACCAGATCACAAGTCTTAAAAGAATTTTGGTGCATTCTTGCTCCAAAATTTGAGCTATTTCACATGTAATTCTATTTAAGGTATTTTTACCCTCCATACCTTGATTTTCTTCGTCTTTGGTGCTGCACGACCCTTTTCTGGACTCTTTTTCCGCTTCTTGGGTTTGGTTCTTCTAACAGTTAAGGTGATACTTGTAGGTGTGTGCTGTGTTGCTGTATACAACACAGTGGAAGGAGAAAGCTCCTCATCCCAGCTTTCTGTTGCACTGCTATCCCCACCTGAAAAAAGGTGGTTTCACAGTTCAGGTACTAACAGTCTGAAAAGTATACTAACAGCAGATTTTGAGCCAAAACCCCCTAGCACAGCTTACTTCTTTGTTTTTATTAGTTTTTCCTTTTTATTTTGATGTTACTGAGGTTTGAATTCAGGGCTTCATGCTTGCTGGCCAGGTACATTAACCACTCAGTTATGACCTGCATTCCGGCATACACCTTTAGATGGGTCCCATTATCTGGTAAGATGTTACTTCTACTGCCTCAAATTGCAACAATCTGAGACTGGATAATTTGAAGAAAAGGGATTCTTTTGTGTGTATGTGTGTGTGTGTGTGTGTTCACAAAGAATACATTGATCGCTATAGGACTAAAATGCTCTTTCCATATACGTTTAATTTACAATGACAGAACTATACAATGTTCTTGAAAGGACCTCTCTCTTCCCATGAAAAAAAGTAGGCACCATGGGAACTTGTAACAAATTCTTGAGAGAATACTTCAAATCACAAAATGTTTACAAGTCAAAATGTGGACTTCAACATTTTCTGCTTACCTGATATGTTGTCCTGCTTCCGCCGATGAAGTCTAATAACTTCCCCTGCTCATTCCCCTAAAGAGGGAAAATAAACTTAAAGTAGTCCTTCCAACAGCATGCAGCACATCGTAACACACACGGGAGAAGTGTCTCTGCATATTCTACCCCTCCCTCCCACCTACCAAATGTTTCCAGGACATTAAATTTCATATCAAATTCAATAGCTTTAACATCAATCTCTCATTCCTTGTTGTCAGCAATTCTCACCTAGTGCAGAGAATTCGAGCCAAGGAGCACTAAGGAATCATCTACATTAACAAACACAAGAAAGAATACTTTGAGCTTTTCCCTACTAATAAGAAACCCTAATCCCAGCAACCCAGGCTTGAATTTAGATGGAACAGGATCTTACCTGCACTTGTCACAGTTGAGAAGGAAGCCATCCTGAGAAAGACCACAAGGACACCAGGTAGGAACAGTCTCTCCTTCAGAGTTCGGGCTGTCTCCACAGCGTTCCTCTACGGGCGACGGCAGGCCATTCAGGTCAGAACGAGGGATGATCGTCTGGACAGGGGGAGAAGCAGGAGGTGTCGGAGGAGGAGGGGCTCCGTAATTATGATCCTGAAAATAAGATTTTTTAAATCAACAGTGTCCAAACACTGGCCCCTCTCTCCCCTAAAGTATGGTACATATGGAAAGAAAGAAGAAAGCAGTACCCTTCGTTTTTTTGGCTTCAACCAGGAAAGTGATAAAACAAAATGCCAAGGTCAACTGGGACATAAAAACAAGAACAATGATGCAGGGCTAGACGTCCGCTGGAGGCAGGGAAGTGCAAAAGGGGCAACTTCATCATGCTGCATATAAACATTTCAAGAAAGTCACAATGTATAAGAATGGATTACACTCCAGGAAGATCACTGCTCTGGAGAGAAACAAATGCATACTCACAGCATAAGGCAGTCCTCGACACCCATGCCTCTGAGTGGTCCCATAATTATGAGTGGAATACACGCTCTTCTCATTAACTGCTGGACTAGCCTCCACAGATTCAGGGCTGCACAAAGGCGAAAAGCAATGCATGATAGCGTAACACCTCATCTTCCCTTCAACTAACAGTTCACTTCCCATTCTAACCCCTTTTCTTTCCACAACCACCAGCCACTAGAATAAGAAAGAACTCAGTGAAACAATCTGATTAACATAACTAAGCCTATAAACAACAGTAGGAGTGTTACTGATGTGGATTTGTGTGTAACATGAAGCCAGTACAGGCAGATGTCTCAAGGCAGGCACCTGGGATACAAGGTGTCCCTAATGACAAACACAAACGTACCAGCTGAGCGGGGAGTTTCCCCTAGAGAAGCCACTCTGGGCTGGTTTAGACTCAGAACTATTCTTCTTAATTGGATCTCTTAATACTTCCATGAAACCTCACATGACATTTGCAGTGAGTGAGATGATGAAAGTGCCTTCTGCACTGCCCCAGGGACCAGGCCCTCTTCCATTCACTACCAAGACAGGATACCCTGAAGAAAGTACAGGTAAAAACAATGGCATCTTATATTTATCACACCTCTCATCTTGATGAACACCCAAATACCTTTCACATATTAGAGTAATAATTTCTCATCTAACAATGACATGCAAGCACATCATGGATACAGTTATTTAACAGCTGCATGGTAATATCATAAGACTTTAAAATAATCAAAACTGAACTTCAAAGTTTTATTAGTCTAGTGACAAACTGTAACAATAGTAGCAGCTATCATTGTGAATCACCTATTATTTGCTTTACATATACTCAGTAATTTAATTTCTGCAATCATTAAATATGGCACCCATTTTTATAGAGAGGAAATAAAGTTGAGGTGGTGAGAGTACATTATTTCCCCCAGGGTCATACACTGACAGAGCCATAATTTAAAACAACTCCTCACTCCTAAGCTTGTACCCTTTTCCACTATGCCTTGTTTGAAAACCAGAATAAAATTCTATCTTTAAAGAAAACTACTTGAGACCTTTACTAACCAGAACTAATAAGAAGTTTGGTTTGGGATTTTTCTGTATCCTCAATTAGTGGAAAGTAAATTATTCAGGCACAATTTATTATTATAAAACAACGAGAAATATATTCAAATGAGTAAATTTAATATTAAATGGCATAAGATGGTCAAGGATAAAATTGAAGTTTTTTTTTTAGAAAAAAAGAACTTCAACTTTAACTGTTACCTGGTTAGGTTTTGGGGGAATTTTGAATATTAAGGATTATAATTATAATTCAGCAGAACTGAAAATGTATTTTCTGTAATTTATATTAAGTAAATGGAGATTAACAAATTACAAACTCCAAGGAATAGCATAATTCAACCTTAGAGATCAATGGGTCTTTTAAGAAGACATAATTCATACTGTTTGCTTGAGATAACATTTTTCCTGCTTCAAGATATACAATATATGGCAGTCAGCAGGAATAAAGTGTGCAATTCAATGTAGCACATCAATTGAGAAGTGTGGGATAAAAGAAAATTCTGAGGTATGTATCCAACTCACCCAGTTTTATGCTCCAAAACTGTGAGAAGGGGTCTTATTAATAACAGCAAAGGTAATTTCTAGGTGAAGAAGAACTTTAGACACAGGAAAGTATTTTCTGTTAGTGAAGTGCATGCATTTTATTATTTGACAGTGTCTGTAAGATGGGAACTGGGGGGAAGGGGAGATATATCAAGAATGCAGGTCAGTATTCTTGAGAAAAGATGATCTGAACATGGCTCACAGAGAGGCAATCAGGTCCGATATTAGGAAACAGGTGAGGTTTCCTAAATGAAACCAAAGCCAGACAAGCATTAATAAAATGAATTTAGTTTCTGTGATGGACAGTTAAAAGAAAATAATGGATTTATACATAGTTAATTTACTTGGTGCACTACTAAACAAATATTCCAAAGAGCTGCACATATTTTATATAGATTTTGTACCATTAAACACATGGGGTGAGACATGACAGTTGTTTATTAGAAATGGAGTTTTTTTTTGGGGGGGTGGTAAAAAGGAAAGCTGCATGAAATAAAAGATGGCCATGGAGATGGAGCTATGTTGGTTATATCTTACCCATCTCCAAACTGGGTAAATATGAACATATGCACTTCATGTGCAAGTCTAGGGAATAAAAATAAAATGTATATTGCGGAGGTTAACAGGCCATCCTACTGCTCAGTACTATCTAGTTAAGCACAGCATTTACTATATTGCTATGCATAACCAATCTAAAGTTTAAAATTGTATGTTTTGATATAGAAACTTTATAATTTCCTTATCAGTTACTAAATACACAAGTTAGATGTTGACAGGTAACTAAAATATTTATTAAAACATTTCTTGACATACATATCAATTCTCATCTCTATTTTAAAATGGGTTAAAAATTTAAGAGTATTAGGGGCAAGGGGCACAGCTCAGTGGTAGAATGCTTATCTAACAGGTATGAGAACTGTTTGTTCGATCCCCACCAGTGAAAAAACAAAAACAAAACAAAAAGTATTAAGATTAGATGTCTTTATCAGACAACCACTTTATGCAAATATAATTGTATCCTTTTTTCTTCTATGACTGAATTGCTGTAAAAGTTGAGCACATATAGAGAAACCAGGCTCACAACATATATACTCCATCAATCGTGTTCTAAGTACAATATACAATCTGCTGCTATAATGTCACCTTTTAGAAGATGACTAAAATTCTGCCACGGTAGAGTTGGAAATCCAGAAAAATCTTTCCTCCTTTTATTATGTCTGAAAGTTTTCCTATTAGTATCCCCCCACGCCAAACAAAAAGAAAAAGCAGATTGCGTATCGATGCTGGGAGATTTAAAATCCCATGAGATGAGGTCTAGGTCTTTCCTTGGTTGAGTATGTTGCCCTTTGTACTAGGTTTAATCTTAGGATTGCTAAGAACAATGAAGTAAGCATGATGAAGCACTGACAATTATCATTAATAATTTAACAGCACATAACCTAATGATTGATGTTCTATTCCTTTATAGAAAGAACTACCAGAAGAATGTGAAATTAGTTGTGACTATAGTAACAGAAGTTGTCTGGAGATAGTGGATGAAAATGTTGAGGAAATCCTGGAATATGACAGTGAAGTCAAATATGTACACCCAGAAGGATTTTCCTTTCTGCATTTACTCTGGGTTCCCCACAACATTTATGGGCATTTATTGCTACAATCTAGGGAAAATACCAATTTTAAGAGTAACTGCTTTGGGTATTTTTCTTATCTACTAATTTCAAACTTATTGGTTTAATCTCTTTGTTGAAATTTCTCACAAATGTTAATGTTGTCTACCTGTACAATCTCTCAACAGATGGTAGCAGGTTAATAACTGATTTTATACTACTGGGCTATCTATTAATGTAGGAAACTTTGAAATACTTTATTTGGGGAGACTGTTATAAAACTCAAAGTCCTAGCTAATGGCATAACTAAATCTCTTTGGCATGTAAAAAGACCAAAACCACCCCAACAAAATAGTAAAAGAATATAAGAAAAGCCTTTTAGGAAGGAACAGAATCCACCCCTCCTTCCCTATTTCCCCCTCCCTCCTTTTTTTTTTTTTGTTAATAAATATATGAATAAGCTTGAGAACTGCTTTCAATTCTAGACTATCCCAGAGAATACAATTTCCTAAGGTAGTTTTAAGTTTTCCTTGTTAAGGAACCCAACGAACAGGTAACAGTAGGTGCCCTTACGAAGAAATATATATACTGTTTAATAATATTCTCAGTTTTAAGGAAGAAAACCACTATTAATTAGGGATGCCGTTCAACCCAGAATTCTGGTACAGTTGCTTTTCTTTGCTGAAGGGGAAGAATCCCCAAGGACTGTGAAAATGGCAAGAGAAACGGGAATTAGAGCAACACCCACCTCACTCAAGAAGTGGCTGTGGGATCAAGAGTCTGAACTGGACCTGAACATATTCAAAACACCAGGATTTTTCCAGCCCAGACCCTAATCCCTGGTACTGCCTGGAATAGACTTGGCTTCTGGGGGTGTGCTGCCCCCTAGGCCCCTTGGGTCTCTTTCGCTGGACTTTCACATCCTGGTGTAGTGCCACTTCGTCTTGAAAGGTAGGGGGCTTCCACTTCCTTTCTGTAAGCAAGGAAGATTGGGTACAAGGGAGGTAAAAGGACAAGAGGGGGAATCTGTGAGCAGGGGGAATCTTGGACAACTTAAAAAAGGGAAACAAAAGGCTAAAATTTTAAAAACTGAGTAATATATAATGTTGTATATATAATGAAGGCCTACCTTCATTGTCATTTGGCATTTAAATTCTTCAAGAACTGAGAGAGTCTATTTTAGGGATTGGGCTTTTCGACAAACTCTGAATTCCTAATGCTGCTCTTAGCTGAAAAAAAAGTTTGGTACCACTGATTTTGAAGGTCCTCTTTCTAGGCAGTGAATATTATAAAAAGCAGATATATACTGCTCTCCATGCTTTCTACCCCAAAAGTCAGAAGGTCTATAGAACCTGCCCATATAAAGTTTTAGCCCCTTTACTCTACAATAATGGGAAGTACATAGGAAGAGGCCTTCAAAGAAAATCAGTTGGAAAGAAAACCACCTTATCTCCCTCCATCAGAATAATCATTAACTCTACAGAAGCAGGTAATGACACCTACTTTATTTCAATCTCCCACTCCCATTAAAACAAAGGAAAATGTAATCACTACTTTGCAATTTTGAGTCTCTTATTTACCCAGAAATCCCCCACCCCTAAAAAAGTTTCTTTCCACCCCCTTCTAATCCCCCTTTCCCTCCAGCTTCTATGGGAGGAAAAGGGCAAGGTCAAATGTTGCTTATAGTGGGATAGGTTTTGGTTAAGAAACTACTACACAGATCTCATTAACTACCCATAAGAAAACTGTTTCCATACAAAATGGTAATGTACCTACTACCTAGGAATTAGCACTTACTCTGATCCAGCAGCCATATCTGAGTAGGATGTATCTGGTGTGGTGACTCCCAGAGGGATTGCAATGCTCATGACGTCCAACACAGCAAAGAGTGGAAATCACGGGGTCCAATTAATGGAGACTAACCACTCTGGGAGTGGGGGTGAGCTGCAGAGCCTCAGCCAACATGTTATGGACATGAGGAATCCTGCCACAGAAAAGGAAAACAGCTAGCATTCATATAGTTCTTAAATTTATCCTAAATGTTAAGAGTAATTTTATGGGTTGTTTATTTTTAAACGAGACTTCTAAAACAAAATTATAAATTCTTTGTTCACTATGTACTGTATTTCATTAATGTTCCACAAAGTATGATAGCTAAAATTTATACTTATTTTTATTTTTAGTTTTTTTCTTTTAACCCAGAAGGAAAGTAATAATCTGCCTAGCTAACAATCATATTTCCGCCATTCTCTAACCCCAGTGAACAAAAGTTCAGGCGATGTAGGACCTACCTGACACATTTTAAGATTAAGGAGGGTTATTAGAAATATTCTAGTCTAAACTCAACAATTCAAAGTCTTTTTTCTTTTTGGCAGTACTGGAGTTTGAACTCAGGGTCTTGTACTTACTGGGCAGATGCTCTACCACTTGAGGCATGCCCCTTTTGCTTTAGTTATTTTTGAGTTTATGCCCATGCTGGCCTGGACCGTGATCCTCCAATTCCTATTGTTCAAAATAGGATGGTGCAAACTTTTTGTCTTGGCTGGCCTCAAACCATGATCCTCCTCCTTGGGAGGCTTCATGAACACCTCCCAAGGTGTTTATTCAAAATTTCTAGAACACAAATAAATGACTGTACCAGAAGTCAGTAATGTCATTTCTCCCAAACTGAATCTGACAGAAGAAATTTATTTTATGTTTGTATGACTAGATACATCTGTTTGTTTTCTTGCAGGACTGATGGTTACAAATGCACTGATCTTAAAAACTGCATTTTTCTGATAATATACACTATTAGATATGAATAAAAACAAACCATCTGGGAAGCTATGCATGTGTGGATGCACAGAGATAATGTATGGAAATTTAATTACCCTGTGTTCAAATTTGCTTTAAAAACTAGTGTGTGTGTGTCTATAACACAAAAAACTAAACTACAAAGAGTACAGTTGCATGAAAAAGACTATAGAAATTTGTACGAAGAAGCAGTGAGGGTACCTTGACTTGATGACCTTAAACCAGTAGAATACAGGAAGAGACTCAAAAACTACTCAACAGCAAAAAAAAGCAAAAGTATATAGAGATTTGTAAATACAAAAGGGAAAAAGTGTACTTTGCATGATTTTATATATGTGGTTTTATATTAATGTAATAAAAGCCAACAAAAGGATGAAATTAAGAATCACTTTATGTAGGACAGTAAAAGTCAATGTGAAGGTCAAAGATCCAAGTTAATAAAGATTTTTATTAAAAAGACTACAAAGTGTCATGACTGACATACTGATTCATGGTTCGACAACAAAGGAAAGTCAAAAAATTATCTGTACTAAAAAAACTAGCAGATGGGTGCCACTGGCTCACGCCTGTAATCCTATCTATTTGGGAGGCTGAGATTGGGAAGATCACTGTTTGAGGCCAGAACAGGCAAAACAGTTTGCAAGACCCCATCTGCAAAATAATCAGAGCTAAATGGACTGGAGGTATAGCTGAAGTGGTAAAATGCCTGCTTTGCAAGAGCAAAGTCCTGAGTTCAAACTCTAGTCCCACCAAAAACCAAACAAAACCTAGCCAAAGGAGGTTGCTCAAACCTGTAAAACTAGCTAATTTAATTAGGAGGTGGAGATTGGGAGTATCAAGGTTTGAGGTCACCCAGGGCAAAAAGTCTGTGAGACCCCCATCTCAAACAATAAAAGCTGACAGTGGTGGCATGTGCCTGCATCCTGCCTATGCAGAAAACTTAAGTAGGATGATAGTGGTACAGGCCCGCCTGGTCATACATTTAAGACTGAATCTCAAAAATAATTAAAGCAAAATAAGCTGGGGCATTATGTGCGTGGTAAAGCACCTGGCTAGCAAGCATGACGCCTTGAGTTCAAACCCAAAACAAAATAACACAACTCTCCTACAAACAACCAAAACCAACTAAAGCAAACTAAATGAATCAGGCATGGTGGCTCATGCCTATAATCCCAGCTCTTTGGGAGGGAGAGAAAAGGAAGATCAGGGTTTGAGACCAGTGCTCACAAGAATTTCGTGAGACCCCATTTCAACTAATGGCTGGACCTGGTGGTGTGTGCCTGTTATTTCATCTATGCAAAGAAGCACAAATAGGACGATCTCAATACAAGCCATTTTAGGCATAAAGTGAGACCTTTATCTGGCATAAAATGAGATCCTATCTGAGAAATAACCAGTGGCGGTGGGGCAATATAGTGTAAGTGGCAGAATGCCTATATAGTAAGTGCAAGGTCCAAAGTTCCAACCCACAGTACTACCAAAAAAACAAACCAGAACACCTCATGAGGCCCTACCTGAAAAATAACTAAAGCAAAAAAGGGATGAGGATATGGTTTTAAGTAGCAGAGTACCTGTCTAGAAAGCATAAGGCCAGAGTTCAAACCCCAGTACTACAAAAACAAAACAAAACCTAAGTAAAATGAAAAGTACATATTTTCTGAATCAATCCAGAGGTTAATGCAGATTTTAAATGGTTGTTGATTTGAAATGTTTGAATCTTACTGATATATAAAGCAGATTAATGTGGTAGATAAGAAAAGTCATCGTAATTAGTGTATCAAGCCAATATTTTTAAGGATACATAAAGTTAATACTACTTAGAATAGCTATGAACTAAGCAATTTTCCTCTGCTTTGAGAGAGCTGGATCTCATCAATGGACCTAGGATTCTCCAAATCCAAATGGGGCAATACACGTGTTCCAACCCAACTGGAGGTGACACTGGTAAGACTGAGTACATCCAATTTTGGCAGTAAATCCTCCTAGCTTTTGGAAACTGAAAGAAAATCTGTAAATGTCAAAACAGAGACCATTTGTCAAATAAGTGCAGAAAGTCATAGCTAATATTGGAAGCTGTTGGCTACAACTCTTTCTTTAGTTTTAGTATTAGTAGATAATTCGGATTAAAAAAAAATTCCCACAAGCTGCTTGACCAGATAAACAGAAGAGAATCTAAGCATAATCGTATCTCTCCCTTCATTGACTAATAAAGGGAATCTGAATCATGGGTCATATTTTCAAAAAAGAACATTAAAAAAAAATCACTCAACATTACTATTTCATGCTGAAAGAAAAAGACAATATATATATATATGATAACTGAATTTTTTTTTCCTACAGTAATTTTTAAAAGGCATTCTATAAGGAAAAGGTAGAAGTTATTTCAGTTAATATCTCCTTCAAGGACAAGTAAATGATTTCTACATTCCCTAATGAAATCCTGATTCAAGAGTTGGGAGTCTTGGATTAGGATTTCATTAGATTAGAGCTTGTGCATGGATCTCTAGTTTGAGGATAGCTTGGGCTACTAGTGAGACTTATCTCAAGAGACAGAGATCCTAACTTGGCTGTTTTAGACAGTTGATAAGTAACTTTAGGAAACATTCAGTCCTTGTGAGGACACAGAGAAGAGGAAGACAATTACCAGGTAAGGAGACAGACCCCATGAGTAAGTAAATTTGCCAAAGCCTTGATCCAAAGTCTCCAATATTGAGAGAAAATAAATTTCTATTGTTTAAGACCTCCAAATTAAGTTAGTCATAAATTTCTGTTTCATAAATTCTTCCATTTCCCTTTTATCTAGTTTCATACGACCTTTCTACTCTTCTGATGAAGGCACTCATATACAGGCCATATATTCAGGCACATTGTCCTGAATAATGATTCCATAATAATGACTTTTTAATTCAAATTCTGATAACAATTAAACTTCTCATATATAACTCTGAGAATAGTTTCTTCCCTAAATAACTGTGTAAAATGTAGCTACTCAAACATTAACCGAAGGACCTTTTATTAATAAGGCTTTCTTATTAGAAAACTCTAGTTTTATAAACCAAGACAACAGACACCTACTATACTTTATCAAGGTTAGTATTTATAGCAGTGACTAATTTAATCATAGTTTGAAGATGTGTTCTGAAGAGAGTGGTAAACATAGACTATCTATAGATGAAATAATGGTTACTTTACTTATCTCTTACAGAATAAGGTCTATGGGACAAGGACTTTCTTCTCTTATCCAATCCTATAGTTCCAATGGCCAATACCATGCCTGATCCATGAGGATTCAAGAAATATATGTTGAGAGAACTGTAACCACCATTACAACAACATGATTTCAGTATTCACTTAAATGAAAAAAATAGAGCAAATTAAAAGGATTTGGGCTAGTCACCTTTCTATAGACCTCTGAATGTGAAGTCCCACAAAATTATCTGTCAGAAGCTTGAAGACCTAGAGAAAGTTGAGACACAAATTAGTGCACAAATGACATTGATGGACATACAGATATATTAATGGTAATTTTATTTCATTTCTATATGTTATACTGCTTTACTATCTTATTCTCTATTTAATACTAAAAATTTTATCCTTTAACCTACATGTCTCGTGTTCTACAAACTAAATGAGAGGAAATTATTGAGGAACTGGTAAATACTTACTATGTCACTGCCAATCCCTCCTTCTCTTTCCTTCAAATTAGAATTCTCTCCCATCTCCCAAGGATCTTTTTTGTTTTTTTCTCTCCCTTCTAGAAGTTCTTTTCTTCTTCAATGAACCATTCCCAAATTCAGGGCTTTTTTAAAATTAAACATCAAATTTAGTATCCATCAGGTAAGGGCCTAACCAACATCTACTAATTTTAAGTCCACAGTACTCCTTTCTTCACCCTCATTCCATTCCATCTATCTTACAGGAGTCAGTTCTATTTGTGGACTCCATAATGGGAACATGATGAAAAAGGGCACTTTTCTACTATCCAAGAAGGAAAATAGGTGACCCACGATTTTTGGCAAAAATGACCAATACACCTTAGATTTTCAGTGTTTTCTCCAAAAAGTCAAGTCTAACATAACATTAGCCAGAATGAGCTATCCACACCTGAAACATCAGTGCATCATAAACATGAAAAGAGCTTTTGATTTGACTCCAGTTATCAAACAGGAAAAGACATTTAAACTTTATGCTGAGGGTTTAAAGACTTCTGACTTTTAAAATTTGGAAAATAAGCTAGTCTTAGAAAAAGCATACTCAGAATTAAAAATCAAAAGTTCTGAAGGTAGCTGGATGCCAATGGCTCACATCTATGATCCTAGGTACTCAGGAGGCAGAGATCAGGAGGACCGCAGTTTAAAGCCAGCCATGAGACCCTATCTTGAAAAAACCCAACATAAGAACAGGGCTGGCTAAGTGGCTCAAGTGGTAGAGTGCCCGCCTAGCCAAGTGTGAGGCCCTTAGTTCAAACCTCAGCACCCCACCAAAAACAAAAGGTCTAAAGGTAAGTAAAAAAGCAAGCCAAAGAAGCAGACTCCTTTAATGGCAATTGCAAACGAGAAAAGATAGTAAGAAGAGAATTAAGTATGACAGCATATAGCAGGGGGATTGAATGCACCAGAATTTTATTTCTTTTGATTCTCAACCAGAACCCACAGAAAAACTAGTATATTCTTGGCCTCAAAAACAGAATCAGCCTGTCTTCCAATAGTGAGTACTCTTTTGAGTAGTCACTATTTATATGTAATTTCTAGGGAAAGTATGTTAAACAGAACATACTATAAATAGTTTATAATTACCCTGTCTTAATTGGGTGCAGAAATGGCCAATAATCTCTGTATTATCACACTAACACTCTGTATGAGTCGCTGGAAGTCAAAGACCCAAGCAATCTGCATGGTAACTCTCAGTGAAGGTAAACAAAATGTGTTTTAAGAACAAGTCCAACAGAGATTTCAGAAGAAATTGCATCAGACAGGTGAGCCGGAAGCAGCTGGGAGACAAAAGTCCAGTAAAAAGCCAATCCAATGAAAGAAATTCAGAACAAGTCTGCTTCAGTAATCCTGTGAAGAGGACTGGCAGGAAGAGGAGTGCTGCTTCAGAAAAAGAACAGGCCTCATATGCTTCAGACAGTCTTTGTACTGAGGCTGTGGACCTTGGCCATTCTCCCAGAAATGATGCAATCCTGACGAACAAGATCTGCTGCCAGAAAAACAATTGTTAACAGCCTATGCAGACAGCAACTCAGCCAAGAAGCAATCTCTGATCAACACTCTCCATAAACCACCAGAACGCCAAATCTCTTCTGCAATTTGTCTCTGATGAAACTTAAATGAGTTTACATTCACATATATAAAACAAGCAATTTTCTCAAAATGTTTTTTCTCTTAATTCCTTTGACTTTACAGTTTCTACCACTCACCATTAAATTTTAAATAAAACACTGAAGAGATTGTCTTGACTCAGCTTCCCAAGTGCTGGGATTATAGATATATACCACCACACCCGGTTTAACAGTAAGGTCTTTACAATTGAAACTAACACTTATTTTCCTCCTTAATTAGAAAAACTTCTGGGAGATAGCAGTTTATCTGAAGTATGAAAATTGCCCTGAAATTTAGCAACATAAAGATAAAAATATACACTAATTCAGGACCAGAAAGGTATAGTTTATATTTCTGAAATTATAAGAAACTCAATGTTAATATTTAACATTGAAAAAGAGAAAATCTATTCTTGCTTAGGCCAACATAAAAGATAAACTGAGCAATATCATCGCACGATGTTATTACATTACCACTTCAGATCTTATTAGAGGGTCAATAGCCATATTTATTAACTTAGGATCCAACTTAAAAGAACCCTCATAATTTAAAAATCCTCTCTAGAATCCTCATTTCTGAAGTATGTCTTCTTTCTCAGTTTTGGTATCAGGATTTTCTTACAGTATTGTTATAAATTATAATAAATTATATTTTACTTCTTAAAGATCCTGATGGGTGGAGTGGCTCAAGTGGAAGCCTAGCAAACAGAGGCCCTCAGTTCAATCCCTCAGTATAGCCCAAAAAACCCAATAACCCTGTATATAGCAATTCTCCACTTAACTCCAAATTGTCAGAAGTCACAAACAACCAAATTTCCTTTTCAAAACAACAGGCTTTAAACTGGAATTCACTAAAAACACAAGCATCTACGATAATCCTAAAATCCAAATATTTGGCCCAATGTACTCCTGTATTTATATTAATAACAAAAATTAATAGATCCACATAATAGCTCTAAAGCACTAAAACATCTTTTGTAGGCTAACAGATGAATAAATTGAACTCACTGAGAAACTACAAAGCCCTGAGTTCAAACCCCAGCACTACAAAAAACAGAAAAACCCAAGAACAGAAAAAACAGTTCAGAAAAAATTTTAGTAAGGATTAAAAATCGCTATTAGTTTTAAGATTCAAATTCTGAATCTGATTATTTAAAATTTTGTTATACACGTAATTTTTTTTCTTTTTTTTATTCATTTATTCCTATGTGCATATATTGTTTGGGCCATTTCTCTTTCCTGCCCCCTCCCAATTTTTTTCTTGAACATTTTTATACTTTTTCAGTTTCTCCTTTGGCTGACTTTGCAAAAAATAGTAAAAAGGGAGAATGGGAAAGAATATTAGAACTTTTTCTGTTGTTGTTCTACAGGACTTTGAACTCAGGGCCTTGAGCTTGCTGGGCAAGTGCTTTTACCACTTGAGCCACACCCTCAGACCTTTATTTTTCAGATAGGTTCTCCTCGCTTTTTGCCCAAGGTTGGCCTCAGAAATGTTCTAACCTAGGAGATCCTGTTAGGGAGCTGAGATTGCAGTTTTGTCCTTTGAGATAAGATCTGGGTTTTTTTTTGGCCTGGGCTGTCCTTGAACCAAAAGCCTTCTGTCTCTACCTTTCAAGGATCTGGGATTACAGTGTGAACCACAATGCCTGGCTGGGTTTTTGTTTTTAAACAATGATATTTTTTTCCCTAGTACTTAAATTTAAAAATTCATGTAAGGAGTTCAAAATGCAGTCAATGTATGACTGCATTTTACCTCCACAACCAGCTTGTTGGAGAACTAACATCGCAGTTACCTTATGTGCTAATCTTCCACCCAAACTCAAATATCTCAAGAAAAACACTGCAGTTGTACTGAAACACATAGCTTTTTAACTTGGGAGAAGAAAGGGAGGTTATAAAAAGTACTATATCAGAAGCTAGAGAACTTGAGATTTAGCCTACAACTTAAATTTGGTAATCTCAGAAAAGTCATTCTACATAGATGAACTCTAAACTCCTCAAAGTAAAATTTTCATTGTCTTTGTTACTACTTTACATAATGTCTAAGTCTCAGTAGTCTCACCTGTACAACAGAAAGAATAATACCTGTCTAGTTGACTCACAGGCATCCACAGGCTAGCATTTGCAGTAAGTTTAAGTCACTCTTTGTCTCTTTAGGTAAATACACACACACACACACACACACACACACACACACACACACACGAAGAAAGAGGAGCTGCACTGCTCCTAATAACCTGAGCATAGTTATGAATTGTTTCTACTCTTCTCCAATAGCATGTATTTCAATTTTGCTAGAGCAGATAATGCGGGAAGAGAAAATGTGGGAAATGTGAGAAAAAAAATACAAGAGAAAGAAGAAATATGACACGAAACAATGAGGAACTAATTGGAAAATAGGATGAGAAGAAAAAGTGTTGAGATGTGGTGAAAAGTTCACGTAAGTAGCACTCAATTAGGCTTATAATCTGAAGCGAGTAGATGAAAGCAAAAGAGTTCAGGGTTGAAGAGAGAGAGAGAAAAAAGCACTGATTGGCATAACCACTGAAACTAAAGAAATTAGAGTCAAGATAAATTTCTTCTTTTCTCCTGTAACACCAGTTTATCCTGTGGTTCCTTTGCCTACATTTTTATTCTATCTAGTGGAATCTGGGATTCCCAGATTGGTTGTTACAGACATAACAACCAATGTCTGCAAAAGTGCTAAGCTTACTAGGAGATAATTCAAAGTCAATTAAAAAAATGACTCCAGCAGGATGCAGTGTCTCCCACCTGTAGTCCTACCTACTTAGCAGGCAGAGATCAGGAGGATTGTGGTTGAGACCTTCCTAGGCAAAAAGTTCAGAGACCCATCTAGGCCAGTAAGAAGCTGGGTGTGTTGTGTGCACCTGTCATCCCAGTTACTGGCCAGCGTAAGGTGAGACCCTGTCTGAAAAATAACTACAGCAAAAGAGGGGCCCAGCCATGGCTCAAGTGATAGAGTCTAGCAAGTGTGAGGCCATGAGTTCAAACTAACTCCTGGTATTGCCAAAAAAAAAAATACACACAGAAGAAAAAAAGTGTTTTATTTACAACCCAATAAACAATAATTATTTACTGCTAAATAAACCAACAATGCTCAGACTCTTTGTATCCT